GCGACTCACGTTCCTTAATCGTGTGATAATAAACGAGCTAATCAAACCACACTCAATCACTTAGTAATTAGTGTTCGAAAATGTCTACGTTGCACTTTTGAAACGAAAAATATCTCTGCAACACTGATAGGAACCTGTGTCTGCACTCACATTTTACAATGAACTGTTAATCATAGCCGAAAAATTCATATATTTTGATTATTGTGAATGATGGCAGATAAGATCAGTCAACATCTAGGTCGTGTTAACAACCTTTCTATGAGAATTTAAGTGTCACATAGATACAAGTAAATAAACTCGGAACTTGTAGCAGACACTAAAACAATTACCCAGTTATTATCAAACTTCATATTAGATTCCAAATATGACTTGGAAGGTTTTGAACAGTGATAATATTTAACTTTCATACTACGAATAAAAGACCCAGAAAAATTAAAACTAATAAGTTCAGTCGATTTGGGGGCTCATCGTCAGAAGTTCATATTGTTAATCCGCATTGTAAGGGTCACATGTTCAGTCTCATTGACTGCTTCGAAGAACTTAGTTTCCTTCCTTCAGTATATTTTGTATTATCCTATAATATCTTTATCTTTCAAGTTGCGAGTGCTTGCTAAAGCAGTTAATAGACCTTTGATTCTGCAAAGTAAGTAGATATTCATTACAATTGCGAAACTAGAAATTCTTCGCTGGCCATTATCAACTTCAAAAATGTAGGCTGGATAGTTGCTCATCACTTAAAATTAAGTTTGAAATACATACAAAAACCAAGAGGATAGACAAACTTGAATAAGTGATGACCCATATAAACTTATCCGCAATTAAAATCCTTCGCTTCCCAACAAACTTCTATTTTTACTGCTGGTTCTGGTCCTAAACACTTTCTCATGCTTCATTTACCTTTACGAAATGTTATCCCTGCTCCTCTAGAACTGCAATTCAAACAACATATCTAATCTCCCAATGTTCTCACCTTATGTGAAATCGGATAACAGGCTTTATTACCTAGAATTCGAGAATCTTGTACCATTGACAAATGCTACATCTCCAAAACACAAAATTTAAATGTGGCCATTCATTCGACCTTATCTAGTCGATATAGAGAACCAGTGAGACTTATCCTTCATGCCGAGAAATATGCGTTTAAGGGAAAAGTTTCTGATCTCCGTTGGAGAGTGGTTGTAGCAGGCGATTTTAAGGTATGAGTAAGTAGGCTATACCAAAACAAAAGATACTTAATTGAATCTGTGTCTCTCTGTGAGACAGCCGTCTTTCTTAGCAAGTATTAATTATAAGTACAAGATGAACGTCTGGCATGACCTGCACAGTCGATGATGGACACTAAATACCATTGAACAGATTGGACAGGTTGTCGTTTTTTCCGGCTAACTTGTTTGATTTCTAGTCATGAATACAAGAACATGTTTGCCTGAGTCTTATTTCAATTAAAAATCCATAGCATTATGACCTCTTAAAGTTCTTCGATGAAGAATCAAAGTGCATACTTTAGAAGCAAACATTTAGTCGACCATCAAAGCAAAGGTTATAGTAACACAAAATGAGATGATATCCAGAAAGACATGACACCAACCAGTGAATTGGTCCTGAAGAGCAAGAAAGACCGATACATATCACCAGTATCGACAGATGATTTGAAACTTATCCTATGGGGCTTTGAGCACGAGAAGGAAGGTAACCAAGAAACTGACAAAAAGTATGTGGAGCCACCTTAAGGAGTGAAGTAGATAGAAGAACTAGCGGCTACAGACGATACAGAAATTCACATGTAGCTGCTCTAGAGTTACTGCCAGCCTAAAGCCCAGGCAAAACAGAATGATTAAGCATGAAGTCGGTAATCCTATCCCGTAGAAAAAAATCCTGCTAAGAATACGCTAACCAGAACAAACTAAACCATTTAAAATCTGTCCTGGGAGTTGAAGGGAGAATTATGATGCCTCAAGTTGAAATACTTCGAAGGTCACGAGGCCGATATCCCTTTTAACCACCACAGCAACACTCTTTACAGGTACATTGGACATCTAAACGGCCCCCAAATTCCCTGGTACGGCCGAGAGTGGGGAGAGTCACCTCTCCCTCTCGAAATGCTCTCATATGGCCAGCGAATATATAGCCTCTGCCAGAGAAGTCCTACTCACTGCATTCTCGTGGCGGGGTGTTGTTTACGAAAGTGAGAGGACGAAAAGAGAATGTCCGGCGCTTTAACCGGATTGGTGGACATAGAGGGTCCACCTAGGGGAGTTGGAAAACCCTGATTCCAAACCAGTGGTGCACATGGGCTCAAGTATCCTGAGGGAACAAATGGCGTACGAATCAACCGTTGATCACCGGCTACCATGGGACTGCATCTCCTCATGATGCTCCACTGCCTTGCGGACTAGACCTTTAGGTCAAAGGCTCCGGGTGTGGCCCCCTAAGAAAACCACCTGCTTCAGTCTGGGCAGTATCACAGCCCTCACACAAATCGAATGAGATTTGTGAGGCGCATATTTATCTGGTGCTTCCTTGTACCAATATTTATGTATTTAAATAAATATAAAATAACATCTGAACAATGGAGACCTAGTAGATCAGTCAAGTAGCAACGGAAATGAATAAATACAACTTGGCAGTGATCGGAATCAGCGAAACCCGTTGGACAGCAAAGGCTATATACGGGAGAAGCTTCTGTACTTAGGTCACGAAGATAAAAATGCTCCACACACGCAGGGAGCTACTGTAATACTGTCCAGAGAAGCACGAAATGCACTTACAGGATGGAATCCACAGACATCATTCAAAACAAAGAAGGAGGGGATCACAATGAATGTTATCCACCCACCAATGATAGCAACAACGACAATAAAGATCAGTTCTATGAGAGGTTGCATTCAATCATAGCTAAGTGCCCAGGAAAGGACCTCACCGTCCTGATGGGAGATCTAAACGCCAGAGTCGGAGTGAACAACACCGGATATGAAGATATAATGGGACGACATGGACTGGGATAGAGAAGTGAAAATGAGGAGAGGTTCGCTAATCTATGTGCACTCAACAAAGTGGTTACAGGCGGCACAATATTCCACCACAAACACACACACGAGGCTACATGAGTCTCACAGGTTCGCAACAAAAACTTCCGAAGGACAATTGGAGGTGTGAGAACAACGAGAGGAGCTGACATAGCTTCAGATCACCAATTGGTTGTGGCCAAGATGAAACTGAAGCTAAAGAAGCACTGGAAAACTAAAGAAACGCCATTACAAAGATTCAATACAACCTTTCTTCGACATACTGACAAACTCAACCAATTCAATATAAATCTCAACAACGGGTTTCAAACCCTACAAGATCTACGCAAAGAAGAAGAAACTACCATGGAGGACAATTGTACAGAGGCCGATCGAGCATGAACATCAACGTATCAGGTGCTCGGCCGCGAGAGGCATCAATATAAGGAATGAATCTGTAGCAGAACACCGGACAAGATCCAAGAAAGAAAGAATACGAAGACAACAGTTAACAACGGCCGAACAAGAACACAGTAAGTCAGGACACATACAGAATACATCGAAGAGAACAAGCAAGTGAAGAGCATTAAAGCCACTATGGAGTTCCTGAGAAGATTGTCAAAATTATCCGGAACTCATACGATGGGCTACACTACAAAGTCGTGCATGAAGGACAACTGACAGATGCATTTCTAGTAAGGACTGGAGTCAGACAAGGCTTTCTACTCTCCCATTTTTTCTGGTGATTGAGTGGATTATGAAGACCTCGACATCTGAAGGAAAACATGGAATACAGTAGACATCTCAGAATCAATTAAACTATTTGGACTTCACACATGACCTAGCCCTCCTCTCTTACACACACGAACAAATGCAGATGAAGACAGCAAATGTAGCAGCAGCCTCTGCATCGATAGGCCTCCATATTCACAAAGGAAAAAGCAAGATTCTCAAATACAACACGGAGAACACCAACCCAATCACACTTGATGGAGAAACTCTGGAACAGGTGGAAACATTCACGTACCTGGGAGGCATCGTTGATAAACAAGGAGGATCGGGTGCAGAATTAAAGGCCAAGATTGGCAAAGCAAGGGCCACATCCCTACCGTCAATTAATATCAAACTCAGAATCCTCAATACGAACGTCAAGACAGTCCTACTGAACGGAGCTGAAACGTGAGGAACTACTACATCCACCGCCAAGAAGGTACAAGTATTGATAAACAGTTGTCTACGCAAAATACTCAACACTCACTGGCCGGATACTATCAGCAACAGCGTTTTATGAGAGGACAAACCAGCTTCCAGCTGATGAGGAAATCAGGAAAAGACGTTGGAATTGGATCAGACACACATTACGGAAATCACCAAACTGCATCACGAGGCAAGCCCTAACTTGGAATCCTAAAGGGAAGCGGAAAAGAGGAAGGCCAAAGAACACTTTACGCCGGAAAGTAGAAGCAAATATGAGAAGGATGAATAACAACTGGAAAGGATTGCCCAGGAGAATGCTGGTGGGCAGTCTATGCTCCTCCACAGAGGGGAACAGGCGTAAGTACAGACGATATGAACATCTGTTTACACATCAGAAAAAGAGAAGTGATCCAGGGGTTTGAAGAGATAGGCAGAACACTTCAAGGAACAACTCGACAGACATTCGAACACCGTCGATTTCCAAATAACTTGAGTGATTAACACATGTGATACTTACATTAGGCTCAGCAAAAGAAAATCCAATTATTCTGGACAACCTGAGTAACAATGTCAAGGAAATAATAAGTATAGTTTTGTTATATTCCAATAAGTAGAAAAATTGTATCTTTGACGCTTCGGGACTTAATGAAAGCCACTTCTTCAGAGTAAATAAAATGTTCTGAGTTTTTTTCCATGTTCTGAACGTAAATTTGCGTAAACGCGCCAACTACTGAGAAGTAGTGACACAATCGATCACACCGACGACGAGGTATGGCAACTTGGACCGACGCATATATATGCCTGGTCCTACGTTGTAGCTGATTGACTGACTGACCGACGACCTCAGAAGCCCTGTTGTGATGGTATCTGAGAGATTCTAGGCCCTCATTTGAAAACTCTACTTATGGATCAAGATATTTAGCAACCAAACAGCAGATAAACTGCGAAACAGACCTCCGTATTAGTGTGATTGTGGAATGTGGCCTTTCATAGTAGTATTTTCAAGTTCCAGGCTTCGATCGCAAGTATTTTGAAGCATTAATGTTATGTTCTATCATCTTCAATAACATTATCTCGGTTCTCCTTACACCTAGTTAGTTTCATCTTGACATTGTGATGCGATGGCTCAGGTAGACCCATATTTGTGCTGGACTTTCCATTATAACTAAGGCTCTGGAAAATATTGTTAGCAACATTTGACAAGTTAATATGAATGCTGTCTAAGTAATGTAAAAGGAGCCTAAATGGTATTGATAAATAGTTGAATGAAAAGAACGATCATGAGTATTACCAAGCGCAACTTATTTATTTAAATCATAGCTTTAAGTAATCGGTTTATATAGGTTTCTCGGTTGCCAAAATCACCACCTTCAACAAAGTGTTTTCCTTTCTTGCGAAAACCGCCACTAGGATTACTCAACTTGAATGTCCATAGAAAAGCAACAGCATGTTTGAAGTTTGGTCCAACTGTATATATTTCATGTACAAGGTCCTCAACGCATATTAAACCAAGATGTCCAAGTTTGTGTTGAATTAGCTCATTTGTTAAAGGAAGTCGTGTACCATGGTACTTACAAAATCCGCGTTTATAAATGAGTTGACGAACAATTTTAAGACTAGGATAACCCCAAGCGACGTACGGATCAATTATTCGAAGCATGTTAAGAGTTGCCTGTACAGTAATGATAAGCGAAAAGCCGGAATTACCTTATTTAATCGCACAAACATCCCGTTGTTGATTTGCCGGAGGCGAAACAGTTGCATAGTCTTTCTTGGGCGTGGGTGGACACCGTTAATACCCCGGATTCGCACGACAAACGCGAGTTTTGGTTCAGCTGGAACATAGAAGTCTCCCGTCTTCTTAGCTTTACGCTGCAATGTGGTTTCCCGCTTTGCCAATCTTCGGTACTCCTGAAAGTCATTATGTTACACAGAACTTACATGCATGTATTTTTCCGCTCTTTGCTTCATGAGAGACTTTAACTTTATATAAGTCTGTCGACGTATCACCTTTTTGCGGGCTACTGTAATAAGTTTTCGTCGTCTAATCTTTTCCTTCACGCGGAGACCTTCTGGCTTCTTGGGTCTCTTAGGAGTAGCTGACTGAGCATCAGTTTTTTTTCTAAATATGAACAAGAAATGTGGAGTTAGTACAATTAGAAAACTTATTTACAGAACCAATGATTATTGCTTTTACAGACACCAAAATATCACAAACACTGACGATAAAATAGGTAGGGTGAAATCCCGTTTTCAACTAAAACTGTACTGATCGCATACTACCGTATTATAATGCTCTTAATACAGATAAGGAAACTAGCTATACATCACTGAATGATACTAAAAAAATAGAAAACATGGTGATCGAAACTTGAGCAATAAACTAACCACAAGAAAGGTCACAACCGCCTAAAGTATTGGCGATAAACCGGATAAAGATTTTGAGACAAGTCGATAGTTATCGTCTCACAAATCAGGTATAACTACTTTAAAGCTTGTAAGGTTGGAGAGACAAATGACGCTAACGAGAAATACAGTACAAATGGTGAACTCATAGGAAAACTCAAGTGATATGTTCTAAAATACAATGTCAAGCAACATTGCAGTTTGCTTGACTGAAAAGTAGGAGCCCGGTTGACTATTGTAGCCATTTTATTAACATGAGCAAGCCCGTTCTAACTCAATTTACCTGAAAAGACAATCTCCGATCCTTATGTTTAACCACAAGCTATAAATTAGGCTTGTCACTGATGACCCTGAACTTACAAACTGTCTTAAACATATTAGTAGGATCCCACTGGGGAGTCATTCTGCAGGAAATCCCGATTGAACTTCATGTAGGTCCAACTTTTTGCCTCGCGATTTGGCTCAACCTTTTCCAATAAAACGTCGGTCTTACTGAGACAAATACAGTTTTCTTCCTGAAAATCTTACGTTTATCTGGCGCCCAACTATATTGAAAATACTCGTTTTTATGTATGGTAATCATTACGTAACAGGACACAACTGCAATATGACGTAGCCAGGAAAAAAAAACACTTACCGACTAACTATGGAACGCACTTGAAGGGAATAACTCAAATTGCTAAAGTTGAATGGAAAGCATAATCCTGGAAAATTTCAAAAATCCCACAGTATTCACATAATTTAACTTATTATTTTCCTACGTTAACTTGAAACGCCTAATTAAAGACTGTTATAGGATTTAAGTAAGTGAAGTTTTACTGTGTTAAATAGCTATGAAGGTATGTCAAAGGCTACGTTATTGAGTATAGAAACAAGCTATTTTCCAAGAACTGAATACACAGATTTATAAGAATATCTGAAAGGCTAAGTTTGGTACAACTAATAGGTATCAAGTAAACGTTCTTGTGCCCAAATGCGGGTGATGAACAGGGCAAACATCAGATATAAACAACCACGAGCCGAATTTAATTAGAAATATAGTATAACTTCGGTTTAAGACCCAGGTTAAGGTTTATTTGAGAACAGAAAAAAAACAACTACTTTAAAACAGTGTAGTGTCATATGGCCTTACACGTCCGTCATGATCTGTTCACGATGGCACCTAACAGATATTAAACTGTCACGCTGTAGATTCAAAGACACAAACAGGCGCCAGGTAGAAGTACAATGTAATGTCTTCAAGTGCCAATCTTCGTTAAGCGGAATCAGTATTCAGAGTATCTTTAAAGATCCCCATGCAAGATATCGTGACTTATTCTTAGTTATGAAGAGCAACAGACGTCTTCAAAAAATAGTACAGAAACTGGTCAGTGTCTGCTTTTTTATACAAATACTTGGTCTGTGTAGTAAAGCTTTTCAATGCTTGTTGTTGACAAATTCAATATATGTTTCCTCAATGACACATTTGTTCTTTAATCTTAGTTTCGAAAAGTGTTTACGAGCCTCAGATGAAGGAGTGTCGAAGTACAAGGTGACTGAACATGAGGTTCGTGTATTTTACAATTGGATTAGTTTAGAACTTCAGGTGATAATTACATCACTAGGCCTTTGTTAGATTAACCATTAATAACCAGAATAATTGTAAATGGAAAGTGAATATACGATGATGGATGGAGATACGATGAAAAGCATCGTGCAAAATATTCAGAGAGGAACTAGCCATCCGTTCATAGCAGATTGTAGCTGTAAATAAATCCCCAAAATCAATAGCTCATTAAGTGTTCGACATTGGATGCTGACCACGTTGTTTAAGTGGACTTGTTTAACTGTAGGCTTTCGGTCATGCATCCGTACCAGATCACGTTTCAACTCGGCGTGGGACACTGCTCCTACGTTTGCATAGTCAGCTAATAACGAAGTCTCTCGATATATTGGTAAAGTATCAAAGATATCTTTCCTACTTCTTCTCGTCTGACTTCTGATTTCCTCTAGCCGGGAACGAACGATTATAGAAGATACTACTGGTTGCTAGTCGTAAAACTAGAAAACTAGTCGTATCCCCAGTGGTGAGCCTAACGTGATCTGATACACCAAGCCAATATACTGTGAGTCTGTTCCATGTTTGAATATTATTATTCATTGTTATTGTTTATTTGAATTTTATATATTGTGATATACTGTTTTTTCGCGAACTTTTTTCCCGGATATATTTTAATTAGACATTTTTCGTTCTCTATATTACTATGGCGGAACACTCATTCAAGGTTTTTAAGTTAAAGTCTATTCCCCCAACTTCGATTCAGTTAACGCCACTTTGGTTCTGCTACGCATAAGCTGATTTTCGCATGCACGGAATCACGGACTCGCGCACACGATTCCTTGCGGTAGTTAAGGCGTTACCGAGCAGGTTTAACAGGTACGTAACACCTAGTATGTTTACTAGTGATGTTCCCGAACCTTACGAAACTCTCAAATGTTCGATTCTTAAACGTGGAGATCTAACTGACCGACAACGGTTAGACCAACTCCTTCATAACATCGACTTGCAACATGGTTCTGCGACAGACATGTTGCTAAGAATGAGAGAGGTTATCGGCCAACGAACTTTCGATGATGGCCTATTCAGACAACTTTTCTTGTCTAAGCTTCCTCATCAGGTGCAGGCAGTGCTTGTTTCATTTCAAAACAACGCTGTAGACGAGCTGGCTGCATCTGCCGACCGAATCCTAGAGATCACCAAATCCACTAGCGCCGAAGTCTTTTCCATCAAAGAAAAACCTCAAACGACCCCGACTGGTGCTGGTATCACAACCAGTACGGTAAATCCTCTAGAAATTGCAGGAAGCCCTGCAATTACCCGAAGTCTAAGGCGACTGACACGAATAAGATTTCGAGAAACTTCCCGGCCGGCACGCGTTAACGGCAACCGTAGTCGGCGAACACAGCCGCCTCTTATATGTCACGGATGTGACTACGAAAGTTAGCTACGTCGTCGACACTGGCGCAGAAGTTAGTGTTCTTCTAGCAAATCCCGACGACAGACTTCACGAGTCTGTTTTAAGTTTACAGGCGGCAAACGGAAAACCGATCGCTACTTACGGTAAAAGGTATGTCTACCTTAACGTGGGTTTACGCAAACCCATACACTGGATTTTCATTGTTGCAGACGTCTCTATGCCAATCATTGGTATAGATCTGTTACAATACCACAATCTGCTTATCTACACTCGCTCAAGAAAGTTAATAGACGGAAACACTAAGTCATCCGTTTGCGTAACTCCTCTTTCTGGTTGCAGGTTATCCCCAGTCACGATTAAACACACCATAGACCCCTTGTACCAATCATTACTCGAAAATACCCCGGGATAGACCAACCGCAATCGAAATTGCCTTGTGTAACCAGCAATGTTACACATCACATCTCGACTACAGGACCACCTGTATTCTCGAAAGCCCGTCGACTCGCTCCCGAAAAGCTTAGATTAGCCAAAAACGAATTCGACCATATGATAGACTTAGGGATAATTCGACCATCAAATAGTCCATGGTCATCCCCATTGAACATGGTCCCTAAAAAGGACAGCAACGATTGGCGACCAACTGGTGGTTATCGGCGTCTGAATGCTAAAACCATTCCCGATCGTTACCTATTGCCTCATATTCCCAATTTGACGGCTACCTTGAAAGGTACAACTGTCTATTTAAAAATCGACTTAGTTAAGGCTTATAACCAAATACCGATGGCACCTGACGACGTTCCTAAAACCGCTATCATCACTCCTTTTAGTCTTTACGAATTCTTGCGAATGCCTTTTGGTTTAAGAAATGCAACTCAAACCTTCCAAAGGTTTATAGACGACGTCTTTCGAGGTCTCAACTTCGTACATGCGTACGTTGATGACTGTCTAATAGCAAGTCCGGACAGAGAATCACATCTCAAGCATCTGGACATTGTTTTCGATCGACTCCAAAGGCATGGCATTACTGTAAACATTCAGAAATGCCAAATCGTAACCAACTCCTAAGACTTCTTACGAGCAAAGTAGCGGCCATTTTGGATTGCCCAGAACCGACCACGATCAAGCAGTTGCGAACTTTTAACGGACTTGTAAGTTTCTATAGACGGTTCATACCCAAATGCGCATCCCTAATGAAACCGTTAACCGATCAGCTGCGTGGAAATGCAAAATCAATTAGTTTAGACGACACAGCCCGTAAAGCATTCTCCACAGTTAAGGAACACATCGCTACGGCAACCCTGCTCGCTCATCAGGACACTCAAGCACCCATTAGTATCGCCGTAGACGCATCCGACTCAGCAATCGGAGGAGTCTTACAACAATGGGTTAACAACTCGTGGCAACCTTTAGGATTTTTCTCCAGACGGTTGTTAGACGCGGAATCTAGGTACAGCACGTTCGGTAGGGAACTCCTAGCTATGTATTGTGCTGTACGGCATTTTCAACATTCCATCGAAGGAAGAGAATTCACGCTTTTTACCGATCACAAACATCTTACCTTCTCTTTAAATTCATCTTCAGACAAGTACTCACCACGAGAGTCTCGACTACATTTCGCAGTTTACTTCAGATATACAACATATTTCTGGAGCTAACAATGTAGTCGCAGACGCCTTGTCTCGAATTAGCTCCTTGAACAGTTTCCAAGGAATCGACCTTCTTAAACTCGCTCAGCTTCAAAAAGAAGACATTGATCTTCAGCATGAGTTATCCTCGACAACTCTTAAACTAAGTATTAGGCAGATGGGAACAGGTAAGGAAACCTTACTCTGTGACACATCTACAGGTAGAGATCGTCCAATTGTACCAAAACATTATCGCCGCAACGTCTTCAATACGTTGCACAATCTTTCTCATTCAGGTGCTCGTGCAACAGTCAAACTTATAGCCGAACGCTTTTGTTGGCCTGGCATGCATAAAGACGTGAGGGAGTGGGCATGCTACTGTGTAAGCTGTCAGAAATCTAAGGTCATAAGACACAACAAATGTCCCTTTGGCTCTTTCAAAACCCCTGACGCTCGTTTCGACCATGTTCATCTGGATTTGGTAGGAACCTTACCCGACACAAACGGATACTCATATCTCCTAACATGCGTAGACCGTTTCACTCGATGGCCAGAAGCAGTACCGATTAAGGACATTAATGCGGAAACAGTGGCCCGGGCTTCCGTCGAACGATGGGTAGCAAATTTCGACTGCCCTTCCACAATCACTACAGACCGTGGACGCCAGTTCGAATCTGGACTTTTCCGTTGTCTCACCTCACTATTAGGAATCACGCGCTTCCGAACGACCGCCTACCACACACAAGCAAACAGGTTGGTAGGACGTTTTCATCGACAACTAAAAGCTTCAATATCAGCTGAAAACGTTTCACAGTGGACAGACGCTCTTCCACTCGTCTTGCTAGGTATCTGCAATGCAGTGAAAGCTGACATTGGATACACGGCATCTCAACTCGTTTACGGAACGACACTCCGACTCCCAGGAGAATTCGTGGATCCTTCGGCTTCTTCATTGAACATGGATCTAAACTCTTACACGAGTAGGCTTACAAACGCTATGCGTTCAGTTAAACCTGCTCACACTCGACCTCAATCAACTGAGGTTTTCGTTCAACCTGACTTACGACATAGTACACACGTCTTCATTCGTCGAGACTCACATCGACGACCCATCGAATCAGCATAAGAAGGACCCTTCAACGTTCTTCAACGCAAACCCAAGCACTATGTAGTCGATAAGAACGGTACGAACGATAGCATCAGTATCGAACGACTCAAAGCAGCGTACTTAGAAGGAAACCCTATATACGTCAATTTTCCTTCGGTACAAGCAAACGACACAGCTACTACACTTGTAGTACCCTACACGACAACTGACACAAAACTTGATACTTCGCCAACGACAATAAATAAACCTAAAACAACGCGTTCTGGAAGACTAGTAAGACTTCCAGAACATCTTAACGAATATTGCACGTAGGACATAAGCTTTATCTTGAATTACCCTTTCATAGTTTATTATAAATTTTTTTTATTATGCTCATTTTTTTATTTATATAAAAAAAACAAAAAAAAAACAAAACATTTTTATTTTTTTGAGCGTATATATATATTTATATATACAAAAAAAACCATAAGAAAACCATTTTTTTCCCGATCGCTTTTACGCTGTTTGTAAGTGTATTAGTTTTTTTTTCCGCTCATCTTGTGTCCTTACGCAAGTACGAGTGTATTTTCGACATGCACTCACACGTTTTATTTTTCCTCTTTTCCAGGACGGCTGGAAAAGAACGACGAAGTTTCGCAAGGAACCGAAATTTTCATTGTACTTTATTTTTTTATTGCTATATTGTACATTTTGGTCCCTTAGTTTAAGGAAAGACGACCAGACGCTGCTAAACGAAGCAAGCTATCAGAAGAGTGTTTACCAACGACAAACTCGTTGGGTTTAAACTTCTGGCTGGTCACGTCTTAGGGGCATCACTACCTCACTAGGGGGGGAGTGATATGTAGCCGTAAATAAATCCCCAAAATCAATAGCTCATTAAGTGTTCGACATTGGATGCTGACCACGTTGTTTAAGTGGACTTGTTTAACTGTAGGCTTTCGGTCATGCATCCGTACCAGATCACGTTTCAACTCGGCGTGGGACACTGCTCCTACGTTTGCATAGTCAGCTAATAACGAAGTCTCTCGATATATTGGTAAAGTATCAAAGATATCTTTCCTACTTCTTCTCGTCTGACTTCTGATTTCCTCTAGCCGGGAACGAACGATTATAGAAGATACTACTGGTTGCTAGTTGTAAAACTAGAATATCCGTTGTATCCTCAAGATTATCCAAAGTAACTGGTATGCTACTTAATTTTGAGGAAACTTTCAAAAGTTTGAATCAGGAATTTCTAACACCACATTTTCGGTTACGACAAGCGTTTTTGTTCCGTAGATCCACAGTATGCATACCATTCAGAATTGAGGTTGACCTTATTCTTACCGAAGGTATCAATCCCGGATCACAGCATAACCTGTTGGTGGATGCTTTCCTGGCTCTACCTAAGATATTTCAAAGTCATGTAGGACCCTAAGCAGGAAGGCGTTTTAGTCTTCCGATTACAAAATTCGCTACGCATATGGTGGAGAAAAGTGGATCACATCTACCTTAATGAGTTTCATCATTCAGTAAGGAGAAGTTGTAAACAATGTTTACGTAAGATCTAGCTGTAAACAACTCTACGTTCTTATTCTGTTGTTGCTGACCTAACACTAAGTAAGCAGTCGACTCGTATCTGCTTAGCTTAAGTTTCACGCCACGTAAAATCTGGATAGAATAGAAACTATCCCTCTTCCTGAAAATCACTGCTGTCTTCCTCGGTTGTTTTTGGATACTTTTAGTAAAAGGTAATTCGGTACCATCACCATCCAATTTCGATGTGACCGGGACATCTTTATCGTTTTCATTGTTTTGGGATGACTGTCTCCAACATCACTGATTTGCCATAGTCTGTATCCGTTCTACCCCATACTTCGAATTTCCTGACTGGTTGGTTCGCTCGCAATCTTTATATAGTTGATGATTACTGGATGCGTTTTCAACTGGATTGCCACAATCCACCAGTTTGCTAAGACGTAACCTCAACCGTATTTCTATCACTAAACCAGGTGATTCATGTTTCTTTACGACTAGAATCATAGCACCTCCGGAATAAAACGTCCTGCTGCTTATCATTGAAGCTTCTGCTTGTTGCGAAAATTCCATACCACTCAAACTATCTCAAGTCTCTAAGAGAAGGTTGAATCTTCCCAGTGAATATGAGACCAAAATCAGACTTTCTGAAACCACATGTTTTGCTCAAACCGGCCTTCTTAAATATTCGCACACTAATCCAGATCGGACACTACAAAGGTTTGGCCATGTCCTTGGAAAGTTTTGACACTAAAGTCTGTTAACGATTGACAACTCGTATTTTAGACTTTGGTGGAGTACTGAATATTCTCTCTCCATCCGTCGCTTCGAAAGCTTGTTTTTTGAGCGTTTATCTGATAGTCCTGTGTATTCCCTGTATGGTTTTGTTGGGGTTAGTCTTTCATTAAGAGCTGGATGAGAGTCTTCACTAATCGGCTGGGTCCAACTTAACAGTCACTTATGTATTGTTGCGTTAGATTGTTCTCTTAACCAAATATGAGAACGATACCTCACCATAAGCTCCACCTACACCCCGACAGAATGTAATACATATACTATCAGGGGTAATTCCTACAACCAGTTAATTGATCTCACATATTCACTTTCCACAAGTATCGTAGTGATTAGAGGAAGTTCGAATGTGTAGGTTTGCCATCTAAGAAGAAGACTCGCTTAAGTGAGAAATGGAGACCCTCTGGTCTCAGATTGGATAAATACTGCCAGTTCATGGCTAAAATTGACGTTCAGCACTCACATCTCCAATGAGTTACCTCTCCCTCTTTTTCCTGCAATTCAATCCAGGATTAAAATCGAAAATATCACGATCAGCTACCTACAGCATCGTTGTGTACAAGAATGCTGCTTCTCATGAACCACTTTGCAATCTATGACATTTTGTAAACCACTCTGATGAAAGCGAGTAAAAGCAGTGTGGAGGTCACCCGGAGGAGAATATTCTACATTGATCAAAGGACTGATATTTTTTTACTACGAGACAATATACAAGATGTAGAGTTCACAATGTCCTGGTACGGTTGCGAGTTGGAAGGGCCTGTCCTCGAAATGCTTTCACACGACCATACTATTACAGCCTACTGACTGACTTCTAGTGGCGAGAATGTTGTTTACGAAATTAAGAGGACGAAAAGCGAATATCCGGCGCATTAGACGGGTTGGTGGACATGGAAAGTCCACCTAGGGGAGTTATAAAACCCTGACTCCAAACCAACGATGCACATGGGTTCCAGTATCCTGAGGAAAAAATGGTGTATGAATCAATCGTCAGACACCGGCTACCATGAGACTGCATCTCCTTAAGATGCTCCACTGTCTTGAGGATCAGACCTTTAGGTCAAAGGCTTCGGGTGTGGCCCCCATTAAGAAAACCACCTACTTCGGTTAGGACACACGGGTAGTATCAAAGCCCTTACACAAATCGAATGAGACTTTATGTGGCGCATATGTATCTGGTTCCCCTTTATGTTTTTTTATGTGTTCAAATAAATAACAGTCCCTACTTAAGTAGTTGGCAGTCAGCCTTCATAGATTTGTCAGGTGCTTTACATCTTCTAAGTGCAACGTACTAATACGAGTCTGTCGAAGACACGTCTTCCTAATCACCCTAGGTAGTCAGCAATTAGAGGTAGTAGAAAAGTCTGTGCATTTCGGTTGTTGTGTGGGTGCTGGTAATGGCTTGTCAAATGAGACCAGTTTACATATAGCGAAACCCAGAGCGACCTGTAGCAATTCACAATACCTTTGGCGTCTTCGTGATATCATTCGAGCTGTGAAGGGTCAGATCTGCAAGGCGCCAGTATGATCAACTTTGCTCTAAGCTTGTGCAACCTGGTCTCTCCGAGCTGTGGATGTTAAGAGACTTAGTATGTTTGACCATCGCCGTGGTTGGCATTCAATTGCAGCGCTATTTGTGTAATGACGAAGTTGGTAAACGGGTGTTAGCGTATAGCGGCGACAATTTAACCCGTGTCAGCACTTTCGAACACCGAGTTCGGCAGCCTCTACAAATGTCGTTCCGAAGAAATGCACATGGTGAACTATCTACTGCGGCTAGGTCTGGTTGCATTAGAGAAAAGCATGGCTAGTTTATGAATTGGTGTCATAGTATTTAGCATGGATAAAAGTTGTATGGGGCTGGTCTCCCTGTCTTTCACGACTCCTTATTTTCAGCACTGAAAATAACGCAACAACGGATTGAGACTTCATCAGGCGAACAGTACCTTACAAAGACTTTGCGCACACAATCGACTCATTAAATGAGGTAGGACTTAACACAGTTTGTTTGGTTCTGACATGCGATTGGAAGACTCAATTAATAATCTAACTACCCATAACACTTTTCGGTACTGGTGGACACCGACATTCTTTGATACTGATAATCATGATAGAGATTGAAAAAATTGTAGGTACTGGTCAAATACACCATCAGTAGGTTGCCGACTTATGTACATGTAGCCTGATAACGATCTACATGGTTCATGTTCTAAGATGTACAAGAGTTGCTGAGATAATAATTCGGTGCTCAGATTGAGGTCTAAGGCAGAGTTGAGTCTGAACCTATCGTCCGTTTGAACTAGTAGGTCATTGACTCAAGATACAATTTTTACATCATCACGGTTGAAATTACAAAACAGACAAGCAAACTTCCAAGTTAAAAACAATTGACTGTCTATAATTTTATCGAAGATATTCAGTGGTACATACAGTAATGTACATTTACAGACATATGTAAAAATAATTTCCAAGTTTGCAAAAACAACTGATGCCAAAAATTAAATATCACGGTAGTAAAACTCTAAAATACAGAAAACATGGAGGAAAGTTAATACTATATAGCTAATGTAAACAACAGGATTCACATCCGATCAATTTAATTTCAATATTGTTAAAAATGTAAGCTCACACAGGGTATTTTATATGTGATATTATCACCTGTTTCATTTGTATGAGACCTACTATCCTATTTAACACCATAGTTCAGTCAGTCATGAATCAAGCAACTTAATCAATTCACTGGAAGATGTAGTACCAGCGCAACCAATAGGAAGTCATTTACGTATGGTGACAAGGCGTTCGGAATAAGATGTTAGCTAGAGCTACCAAGTAAAACTTCTCGATTAACAGAAACAAACTGTTTACTTCGAGATTTTAAAACACTCGAAGGAATTTCTGATTTATATTATCCCTAACAAAAGAATCAGTAAAAATTAAACCTGGATGCTTCAACAACACAGGATAAATGGTGTTAGTTATATCCATAACTAACCAATCAAGTCGCTGCTTAAACACGCACCACGTTAACCTGGTCTACTGTGTCTGTAGACCATCCCTGTTGCATGTGACCTACCAATTGAAGGATATTATTGTTACATCATATATGTGTGACTGCAACTCATACTTTTTATTCATTTCGATCAGACACCCAATACTAGTCAGAACTTTCGAGCGTTTCACTTATTAACTATAGTTCCTTTAATTATTGCACAAATCGAATTGCCTTTTACGTTCAGAAGCAGATAAAGTTTAAAGCCACGTTGCCCTTGTTTTGATTATAGCTTCCACATAGACTCCGGGTCGTCAGTATCGCGTTTACATTACCGGTAGAACACCTGCAGGAAAATTTAAATCATACAATGTTTCGACCAGTATCTCATCAAAAATTCATACATTGAGTACTGTTAAATGTTTACGCAGAAGAATCATAAAGCTGATCAGATTCCTGAATTGTCTCTCTACTATCTAGAAACTCATACTGATGGCCAGTTTGAAGGAAACGGCCACCGAATAGATCCCCTGTTAGAGTTAGAATTAGCTGAAGTACGCTTCGCTCAGACAGAAAAAGAAATTGAGTAGGATAGGTTACATCAAAGAGGAAGAAAACATTATAGTCAAGCTGTGGCTGACAAGGTGCTGTCGTACGAGTCTACATCTGCCTCACGTGGAGTTAGTATCCCTCCTGCTAAAAACTGGATAACAATGACATCTAAAGCTTTAGACCTACCAAACAGAGGGATCATAAGGTTTGATGGTAACCCCATGAACTATTGGATTTTCATACGGAATTTCGAAGCGTACTTAGATGACAGCGTTGGATTCCGATTTAGGTCAAACTATTTGGTTCAGTATTGTGATGGTGAAGCTAAGGCTACTATTGTTCATTGTGCCTTGCTCGAACCAGAAAGAGGCTATTGCAAAGCGTCTGTGCTTCTCGAGGAAGCGTTCGGTCAGAAATACATCGTAGTTCACGCATTTATTGACAACAGGCTGAACATCCCTGCTATTAAGGAGACTGATCCAGTAATTTGAAAAGGCTGTCTCATCGGATGAAGACTCATGAGTTAATGCCAAGGCAGAAGAATTATGTATTTGATCTGAATTCTACAAAGACCACTGAGACTAAGTTTTCGAAACTCCCACTACGCTTGCAAAGTATTATTTATTTGTTTATTTAAACACATAAATATTGGTACAAGAAGCACCAGATATATATGCGCCTCATGAATCTCATTCGATTTGTGTGAGGGCTGTGATACTGCCCAGGTTCCCAGACTGAAGAAGGTGGTTTTCTTAGAGAGCCGTATCCGGAGCCTTTGACCTGAAGGTCTAGTCCACAAGGCAGTGGAGCATCATGAGGAGATGCAGTCCCATGGTAGCCGGTGATCAATGATTGATCCATACGCGATTTGTTCCTTCAGGTTACTGGAGCCCATGTGCACCATTGGTTTGGAATCAGGGTTTTCCAACTCCCCTAGGTGAACTTTCCGTGTCCACCAATCCGGTTAAAGCGCCGGACATTCGCTTTTCGTCCTCTCACTTTCGTAAACAACACCCCCGCCACGAGAATGCAGAGAGTAAGACTTCCCTGGCAGAGGCTATATATTCGCTGGCCATATGAGAGCATTTCGAGAGGGAGAGGTGACTCTCCCCACTCTCGGCCGTACCAGGACATTTGGGGGCACACTTGCAAAGAGAACGGTTGAAAGTGGCAGGTCAAATTTTTAAGGGGGAAAGAGAGCTTTTACTCAAGGACCTTTGAAAGCTTGTGAAAGAGCAGTCGGATATTGCTAATATCAGATACGGATTAGTGGTCAATAGGGATCTCTCTAATCGCGACCAAAGGCAGTTCGTTGTTGCTACTAAAAGAAACTGTGACTCAGAGTATAAGGTGAGTGTCATTGGGTAGCACAAGCGGGTCTGATGTTCATCCACACGTCAAACCAAGTACTCTTCAGTTGTCATGTTTACTAAGTACCGAAAGCCATTCCTTAGACCAATGTGGAAGGTTTAGAGATAAGTATATAAATGAGAGGATGGAGTTTGTACCAAATAAGTTCTGTAATGTCTGTCTGAAGGCCGGTCATGAGTAAAACACTCAACACCTGTTGGAAGTCCACCACTCATACCATTAGGTCACACTTTCACAAATTTATACACTAAGTGTAATCTTCATACATAGTGCAAAGAATGCTGAAGATAGTCAAATATACTTAAGCAGTTTAAATCGCCAAAAAGTGCCACGTTTCCAAAATTCCGTTGTTCTGCCATCAAATCTCATCATATTAAGAGTCTTTTAATGTTGCTTCAGCTAAAGACGCTTCCCCTAGTTGGTCTGTTACTTTTTTAATGTGAGTATTTTGCCGTGCTTTTGCAGACATAGGGGCTGTTCACTGAGTCCAATCTTCCCTGGTCATTCCAGGAAATCTCTCGAACAAAATTCGCCATTACCTGGAATTAAAAGAGGATGACTTGTTGGTATTCGGCAACCAAGGAGTCAAAGATGATAGTACGAACTAATTGGCAAAACATCAGTAGGTTTAAACTTGTACTGAGTCAATAGTCTAAACAACATCAAGGCAAATCATTGTCAGTAATAGTCTAAAAGTCAACTATATATAGGAAACTAGTCGGAGTCAACCATCAAACTGTCATAAAATTGAGATCTCTTGGATTTCACGGGCGAAATGGAGAAAGACCTAGACCACTGGATGGCAGGTTTATGAATTTGTTTGCCGGTTGCTAACATTAATGATAAAATGCACATTTAATTAAAGTAACTAGTTGAAACATGTCAATACGCAAATATACATGAGGTTCATGTCCCGATAGGATAAAATTAATGTTTTTGGTACAGTCGGTTTCAAGTGGTGCAAGTTAACTAAAGTCTGTTCAACATATAGTGATTTATATTCGCGGAAATTATGACGGGAATTAATGAATCACAATAGTTGATCAGCACAAGAAGTAGCAAATTATTAATATATTATGAAACTGTTCTCATGATAGTAAATCAGCTTGACAAGTTATGAGAAAAACTTATATGAGTGATATTTAGCGGTCAACAAGTATCATTTCGCCACTTCCAATTAATAAGGGCCAACGACAGAAGTAGACCTTTAAGCTAACCGAAATGAATAATTGATCATAGCTTTAATTGGTAGGTTTTTTAATACCATAATCCAACAGAAAAGTCGTAAGTTCATTCACTTATGAAATTATTATGACTTGATATTTCTCTGAACTAAGGTTATCATTGATTATATATCATTGTGCTTCCAATGTATGACCAAAACATTTATCGCAGTGATGAGAAACAACAACTAAGTTGTACATAAAAATACCAGCTACCAAAATGAACGACTCGATAATTAGTCTGCAATAAATAAGACATGCCCATCCACAAATCTTCGAAAAAAACACTTGTTTGCTGTTTGAGAGACACTAAACGCTTCAAGATGATGCAAACTTGCAATTAGCTAGTGTTAATGCTCATCTAAAATTCGTTTAATATTAGCTAGTAATTATCTTGTTGTTAAACCAAGTCTCTGCAGAGACAATGATAAGTTCGCAACATCAACTGATTTCATCACCCCAGTCCATTTAAAATCTGCATGTAAAGAACATAGTTTCTGGTCTAGTTTCTTATTTTAGTTAGTTAACGGAACGGAGTAATCACCTCCAAATGTAGGCGGTGTACGTCTAACCCTACTCTTAACTCAGTTGACTCCACAGTTTACAGATGTTTATACGAAATAAGGAGAGGAAATGTGAAATTTAGTTGTTTTCAATTGAAATACCTTACATCATTACAAAACAATTATTTTGCGGCATTGTTGTGGTTAGTGATCAGTTACTTATAGTTATGTTTCTAATCGTTTATAAGTTACAGACATTTAGATATAAATCTACCAAGGTCATCCGTGACATATTTCGAGTGGCTGAATTATTTATTAGCACTTCCACAAACAACTTACCGCTATTATAAATGGTACGAAACCAGGCACTAACACTTGTACATTCGACACAATGGTGCCTTGTATATCATATTGAGATCAATTTTTGGACCAATTAAATCACGAATATTTTTATAACCATATCGAATCATAGTTGGACTAAGTAACAAAAACAGAGTGGTAGAAAATAATGCAGAACCACATGAAAAGGTTTGTGAGGGTTAAATTTGATATATTTTGTAACAAAACAAAATTAATGATGATGGAAGACTAACGTGAATGTGGCAAAGACGATATAAAGTAGTTTGTCAGTTAGTTGGAAGCAGTCTGTTGGATGTCAAGTAATATGGTTTAATTTTGAGTCGTACTCACCAGCAAAATATACTCACAGTTTTGACATGATCGGTGGGTTATTTGAAGTGCGATTCTCGATCACTATTTACCTTGATACGGTCGACCGTGAAGTCAGTCCACTTTTCATATGTAGACGGTCTTATACGGTTGTTCTTTTGTATTATTTCATGTGGAGGTGATACTTACTACCTTCATGAAAGCCAGGAGTGTCAACAGGAGTGGGATGAAAAGGTGTATATGAATGAACATGGAAGTGCATTTCCTGACATCGCTTTACCGTAGCGTTATGAACTGAATCATCCAGACCAATCGTTCGACATATTATCAGAGAAAATTACCTACTTTACTCTAGGGGCTCAGCAGTATGTCAGAGGCCTCGCATCAACCATAGAAATTACAAATGGCGAATATGAATTATTCATCAGTCAGACTCGAGTTACTTTGTTCACAATGAAATTTACTTTATATTACTGCACATCTGTGTACTATTTAAGTAATAAGTATAATTTTGTTTTCATGTGATTTATAACCATTTTTATTTTTACTTTCAATGTTTGCGCAACTCAACCACCTGTTGTCATTGTTGAAATTTTAGTCAGTTTAGAGAAATTTGAACTTGCTCAGATAGTTGATTTCTGAAAGACGTATCAGAATTCGACACATTGTCACTTGAATTTAAGACACGGGTGCCGTTCAAGCTTAATGTTCGTACCTAGACACGTAGGTGCATATTGAACGACATGTTTGGGAAATCTTGTTATTGTTGTGAAATGCGTTTCAGAGACACGTATACAAAATTTCATCCGTCCATCGAGAAACCATGTTTCGCGTGTGGTTAAAAGGGATCTAATCTTACCGCAGTCATCGCACTAGACAAACAACGTTAGGACCTGAGACCCAGTGGTCGAAATTCAAGCCACCTTGTTAGATCACAGTATATTTCTGGCAAGTAAGACAAGTATCCCAATTAAATATCAAGCGTAGCTGAGTTTAGAACTATTAACTCTCTGGAAAGCGAGGGTTTTTGTATTACAAGAAGTCATGTTTTAAGCCAACGAAAGAGTGGGAAAATGTTGGTCAGTCTCAGAACTCCTCTTTCGTTTTACAATCGACAACATATAAAGTACAAATATGTGATTATGTGAATCTTTTCAATACTTAGGGAAAAATGTTTTGTCGATAGGATGGATTACTTAAATAACATTTAGTTGGGTGATCGTTGGCGTTCGAAGGTAATGAACGTACTTTTCTTCTTCATAAAAGCGTTAAGAACTTCAATGAGACTGATAGACACTGCTACAAATAGCTGAAACATAGATGCATATTTAGATGGCTGTCAGTTTGCTTCTGAAGATTTGTCAGATTAGATCGATTTTGCACATAGAAAGCTAGCTGCTCATAACGGTCTGATTCACCCTTACAGAAATTTTTACGTGACCATGATCACAAGTGGTTGAGTGTATGACTATTTTATCACAATAATCTTTCTTTGTTTGTAAATTTTGACCTTATAGAGAGAATGTTGTTCATTCCGTCTGTTTTCGTCTGGACAGAATGGTTATATTAGTTACCCTCACAATAAGTGCAAGTACGTTGTATTATTCCCTCGATTCTCTATGAACAAATGTAACACGTCTTCGCCAACACAGTAAATAAAATTACTATTACGTCATGTCCTACGACACAGCAGTGAAACAAACAATGCTCTAGAAATAGGTGGTATCAAAAAGAGCAAACTCTAAACTAGCTCACCGTTCCAGAGATAATCCCCAGGCTATAACAGACAATCCTTCAGGTAACCCCATTGGTCTAAGCATTTCCGGACGAAATAGTCCCGAATTACCTATTTCCACCCACTTCTTGAGACCTGAAATTTAAATTCGGAGAAGCAGCAGAATTTTAGCAACAATGCAAACATCAGTATATGAGACTTTGGACCATAAGTATTATGGTTGTTTGTAATACTAAGTGGATTGTAAAGTGGGGTAGAATTCTCAACCGTAACTTATTAGTTGAATAACAAGTCTCCAGGAAATGTAGTTTGTTACAACAATAGATAGCGGTTTTTTTCAATCTGCGTCATGAATCGAAACTGCTTTATTCATAATAGCTTAAATAGTAGTAGTGTTGGGCGCCGGCTGGACGCATACACGAAACAAGGTTTTGGACTTGTTGGCAGTCATTGAAACATGTTCACAGTCCTGAAAAATTCGTGTTATATTTAAGTTACAATCACGTTCTAAGAAATATTGATGATCAGAGGACCGTTAACATAAGAATGCTACGGGCATTTCTGTTGCCCATTCCATAAACATTAAACATTTAATCCGCGATGTAACAAAAAGGCCATGCTAGACCAATGAGAATTAATCTAAGATATGAATAGGAAACCTACGGTAATGTAAAAAGGAACAAATAGTTTAGCAAATTATGAAGTATGGTGTACAAAAGCATAAATCAATGATTTTTGAGAATATTTACTCACCAGGATGATAACTAAAAATTTCCATACTCGGTTCAGTATATGGATTATATGCTGGTTTGAATCTCAGTTGCGTAAGTCCCAACTTTGAAAAGAAAGTTCGAATTACACTTTTTAAATGGCCTAAGCTAAGACCAAAGTCAGCAACTAGACCTTCAACTTGATGAAATTCTGCCAAATGAGTGGCGTCCAGATTTTCATTTCGAAACACACGATCAATACTGTAATATTTAGCTGGAGTAAATGGATTCTACAAACATAACACATACAGACAATGCGATAATAAAACAAACCATGTATATATCATATTTGTTTCACGCTACGGTTCGTTGTAAGGTTAAAAGTTCATTAACTGGGAGACAAGAATTCATTCAGGTAGTCATACTAAATTAATGGTTGGACGTTTAACAAGAGAACTATCACTTTATCAGGGTACCAGTTGCCATGTTACATGAAGAATCAATGTGCATAAGATAGTTAAGCCTCAACTAAATATTCAATGTCAAAAGAATTGGCATGGGGGTCAGAAGAGCTAAATCATAGAGTTTACTGTTCAACCTTCTTGATAGTTTAGATACCAAGACAGGGCAGCACAGTATTAACTCATCACATGTTTAAACGTTAGCAGACTATTTCAAATTATCTATTTACTATCAACATTTTTTAAACATCAAAATACACAATCAGAGTCAACTCACTGACATTAGTTTTTATTATCTCTCTAATAAAAAGAGTTGATCAGTATTTTAAGACCTAGTGAAACTTGGAAAATACACTGGTTTTAACTGTTCAGCGTCGACAAGCCTCTCAGTACGTATGCACTCTAAAATCGGACTACATTTTTATGATGACCATCTGAAGAGTAACAATATATCAGTATCTCAAACACTATGGTTCAAATGAGTAGTAGTTATTCATTATCAGATACCTGTCTATGCGAGGTTACTGCAGACAACAATCACGCTTTTGTTACTGAAAATGGGTTTTAAAATGATCACCTATGGGGAGTTGAATATTTTTACCCATCACAAAGACTAAAAAGGCACACTTGACTGTAAGGTAACACCTCACACATCATAGAAAATTTCATTGGTAGATATTGCCCCTTATAATTAACATCATACTTTATAAGGAAACTGCACACTGACCTCTAAGTGATCTCATCAATGAGCAATAAATTGCACGAATTTATAGTCTAATAAGAGAACTAAGAAAGACAACTACTTATCATTATCATCATTATTACTAAAGCACATTGTGAAATGTTAAAATAAATCACACTCAGACAGATTAGGGAATATGGATTCTCATTAGAGATTATCAGCTTTACGTGATATAGCAGTTTTAGAAACGAAAACGATCAATTTGATGATATTAGTTGTCATACATTGACCGTAAAGAGACAGAAGAAAGATAATGATTGAAGTGTGTGTTTACAACTGATTTTTCGTATTAGGAGCACAAGTTTTCAATACATCCACATTATCGATATAGGGTTGTGGGGACAGTTGAATTTCATTGGAATCATGAACTGATCTCCGTCGGACCACCGCTGGAAGACTGTTTCGTTTTAGTATGGAGCGCATGAGAGAAAACCTAGGAACTTTGGTCTCACGCGCAAACGCTGGTCCACTAGACCACTGAGTCTGCATCCAATGTCCAACTTCAATCAACCCACAATATTGCGTGACCATCTTCTATTGTCTTCGGAGGGAAACTACCTTACATCCAACATAGTTTGGTTACATTAGGCACGACTTTACATCAGAACTCTGAAATTTTTCTTTCAACAAAATTTTCTTTCACCAGTGACCACATGATCGCTTTTAGTATGTGGTTGAGGAAACTGTTGAAATCCATTGACGTCGCTAACCAACCGAAGGTTCTAGGTCAGTTTCCCGTGTGTGGCATCACGATTGAACGCTTCTGAGGAGTCTCGTACTATGATTGAATGGCTATTGTACTTCCAGTTCACCAATGGTAGTCTAACTTAGATCGGTTCATCATTTCAATGGGATATCTAGGTTGCACAGACATATTTCCGTTAAAAATTCTACATTATCCTCTTATGTACCCTTAGAGGAGCTGAATATTCTTCATTTAAGCGTACTACTATCATTGCAACGTAAATTTTGGTTCATCACCCTTTCAATTTGACCCTATAATACTTGTTCCTTTAACCCAACACTACTAACTCATCGAATTACTCATGTTTTGGTATGATTATTAAAATTCTTAGTTCCTAAGTCACCAAGGTTAACTATGGCCAATGACATAAAAATTATTTTATATCCACTGTTGAGGTATTAAATCTCTCCGCCAACGACACGACATAGGAATTTATCAAACCAAATGAAGTCAGGTGTTTATTTATGGTAATCAGTGTTTTAGAACACATCTTTCTTGTTAAATCAAGAGCATGAACACTCCACAAGTTCCCATTGGTCTGATTGACATGGAATATTTTGAGAAGCATTGGTTGGGTTTTGGTTAAAACCTATAACGAGACATTCAGCCATTGGTAAATCGCGAAATAAACATCAGATGCCATACTATACTATTTGAACAGAATCTATCGACATCCTTAAGAAAACAAGCCCAATTATTCTTACTGTAGAAAGATCTCACCTACCTTTTTAGATAATGCATGAAGCATACGGGCGCTCACTGCTGTTGTATGTGTACGCAACAAATTTTTCTCCGCTTCCTCCATTAGCCATGGTGACTGATAGCCTCGACTACCAAAAGCACCTTGACTATGCGCAGTACGAACTTTATCAATGTAACAAGTTTCGACTGTTTTGTTAATATCTGAAATCTCAGGATCTACAGATGAGAATATAGTAATCATGACGAATGAAGACAATAAAAATGAGACTATAAATCAAGTCAGAATTTATTTCTAAATTTACAATAAAAGTTAATAACAACACAAATTTCAAATAATCGCATTTTCTATATAGCAGGCTAGTCATTATAAAACATAAATGATACGATTTTGGAGCTTCAATGAGTAATTACCAGTTGGTTGCAAGTTCGGTGAGAATATCAACAAACTACAACCAAGCAAGTAATCCACTGAATTGTCGTAGAAAAAGTAATCTAAACAAAGACATGTCATAACAGAATCTCAAATTAAATTTCATATTCCATTCCAACTGGTGTGATAAGTTCTAATTCCAATGCATCAGACACTATTGACAATAAACAACAACAGTTATACTCTAGTCAATCGGTTACATATGAGCACATACTTAACTTGTTAGTGACATTCCCCGAAGCGCTGGTACACCACTCGGTCAGTCATCGTTTTTGAACACATATCGTTCAACTTAGATCAAACTTTTAATGCTGTCGATCAGTGAAAAATATCGATAAAAGTGTAATACAATCAACGGATTAATACACAGAACGAATGTTGTTCATTCCGTCTCCTTTCGTCTGGAACATCACGTCAAACTCGACACCGTTAATCACCAAATTGATTATGTAAAATAAATCGGTTGGAGGATGACTAGCACTAATTGTACTCGCTTTGACAATAGACTTTTGTCAATAGTTAGAATATAAAAACGGTACTGCCCAACTAACAAACCAACCAACCATCCCACAGAAGATATTCACATGGACACAAAAAGACCAAATAATTCAACTCAAAACTTCAATAGCTGGCTAATAATTTACCCGAAAGGAAAAATGTATCATGTGCATCTCGAGCAGGATGTTGTTGTGGTTGAAAAAGACTATCGAAATTCCAAAAACTGCATTCAACATAATTGTTCGTAGGCATTTCTGAAAATCTGAAATGTTTAGGATGAGGAATGAATGTGATGAACAGAAATGGAAAATCAAGTCTTTTAAAACTAAGGTACCGTCGTAAAGTTTTCAAAACTTATGAAGGCTTTTGCGAATGCTTTTTCATTAAAAAAGCAACCTATGATGACTATGCAGTAAATAGTTGGAAAATGACCTTTCAGCCAACTATCAAGATGACAAATATACATTTATTTTAATTAGACTTAATAGAATACTTGATTTGCACAAACTTGGCCTACCGTAGCATAGGGCTATGGAATCTCATTCTTCATTGATATTGCTTTACTTGTTTTGAGACCTACCACTCAGTCAGTCAGTCAGCTACAACGTAGGACCAGGCACATATATGCATCGGTCCAAGTTGCCATACCTCGTTAGCACAACCACCTACCATTAGAAAAAATGAGCAGTAAATAACGTCTATTCTCTACGATCCTTCCTAGACTTGAACACTGCATGCCTGACCTAATTTGGAAACGCTGAATATGAACACTCCATAAATATCTGCAAATAGTCTGTGCTGGTGGTCAATGATACTTTTAGTCAAAAGATTTGTAAGGTCTGACTGAGTGGAACTGTGTGTTAGACGATTCCCTTTCAGGTGTTCGACCAGAGTTTTTCAACCGCCACATTTCTTACAACTGACTAGCCAGTACCCTTAACCTTAGTATAAAGGGTGATTTACAAGTCGATGTGTGTACATCCATTCTTCCCAACACAACTTATTAGCATTACAGCTACGCACTTAAGACAAGTAAGCTTTCAGAAAAATGAACTCAATGAAAGCAACCCGGAAGTAGTTGATAATTTTAAAATAATATTTAATGATGATTAACTGGTCTCATACGAGAAAATCGCGACATATTACTACTTACAAACTGGTAGTCGAAAATCAAGTATGCACAACACTAAGACACGGTTACACAACTACCCTTAAACCAACATATATACCGAAGACAGATTGTTTTTATTCTACTGAGATCAATCATTTGCAGACAACCACAAAAAGCAAACAGCTGCGTTATGACAGAAAACTGCGTTTCATATCATTGATTAAGTTATTCTGTAACATCGAGAAAAAGTTCCAAGATACGTTAGACTAGATGGTAGATTGATGAATTTTCGGTGGTTTTATGAACTATACTGGCAAATTGAAATTCTATTTCACACGACGCAAAACGATGTTGGAGCACTTGACAAATAGGAAGACAGTTGCGTTTCATAATGAGGATTTCAGTATTTTAAAGCATGTCAATTTTATCAAATCAACAGTAGAGTCACACCCATCTTGTTAAATATATTCTGCAATGCCTAGGACAACGGGAGTGACACACTGAGATTTAGAATGTAGATAGAACATATTGATATACATTCAAAGGAATTCAAACAAAAACTCCCACAACCATACAATCGTGGCAATATGAAAATAAATACGTTTGGAGTAGTAAATTAATAACTTCCAGTTAAAAGATTTTCTATTAAGACACTACCACATATGTGAGTCTCTTTCAGTTGTCAAAATATAGCAAGCACATTGAGATGAAAGTATCAACACAAGTATAAGAGAGAACTAAAAGTAGTGACAGTATGTGATGATAGGAAAAACTTATCTACTTCACTTATTTGAACACATAAACATCGGTACAAGGAGGGGCCGAAATAGATGTGCGCCACACAAAATAGTTACCATTCGATTTGTGTGTGGGCTGGAATACTTTCAAGGTGCCCAAACAGAGACAGGTGATTTCCTTGGAGGTACACTCCTCGAGGCTCTGACCCACAGGTCTAATCCTCGATGCAGTGGAGCAACGTCAGGAGACCCAGTTCCATGGTGGCCGGTGATCAAGAGTAGGTTGACACCCCATTTATTCCCTGGGGATCTTGAAGCCAATGCGCACCATTAGTTTAGAATCAGAGTTTTCCAACCTACGTAGGTGGATCGCCGTGCCCACTAACCCGGCTTAAGTGCCGGACATTCTCTTTTCGTCCTTCCAGTTTCGTAAACAACAACAACAACCCCACTGCAAGAAGGAAGTAGTCAAATGAGAGAATTTCGAGAGGAAGAGAGGGCTCTCCACATCCACGACCGTACCACGGCACTTGGAGGCGTAGGAAAGACCATGCATTGACAATGTGATTCGGTAGGAATTCGTGGAGTAAAAAAACACGAGATAATTTTAAAGCTCAAGATCTACAGAGAAACGAAGAGTAAATGTATTTACACTATTGTGACCTATTCTCAGACATCATCCAACATCCCTAGCAATTGGTTAAGATAAACGTGCAGACTCAAAACTAGTAGTCCGCACCTACCAATACGGCTCAATCAAACATTCAATCACTTCATGGAGAGATGCCAAATCTTGGTTTTCGCTGTCCCTAGCTTTATTACAACCCAATCCTGCATCGACAAACGTCACGTGTTAGGGCAGGAGGTAGTTCGACGACATAATAATCTTCCAGTCATGCAAGTCAATCGACGTTTGCTATCTCACTAACACATTTGGCATCTTTACTTAGTACTCTGCGCCCAACCTCGGCATTTCTTACTTGGCAATCCCAACACATGGGAAATGCTTCAAAGGTATCGACGACCGAATACTAACAACCAACGGACACCTACTTTTAATTAGTTTTTTTGGATACCAATCTGATTTACTGATTAGGACTCACTACCTTTAGGTATGTAAAAAGGTCTTTAGTAGAGATATGAGGTTATGCAAGAAGGGTATAATGACGCGTTTTCTTAGTATATTTAAAACACGATCAACCTGTAATCCACCATTTCTAACTAACAGCACTAACTTTAATGATAGGAAGTGAAGTGGTTGAACTCATCAACCTCTCCATTTATCATGAGTCTCACCAGTACTGATAGTCTAGTTTATCGCAAATCTTGGCAAAAATTCAAAAGACTCGATTGACTTTTGACAACTCGCGTCACATTTAGCGTGAGATATCCGTCTGCCAACCAAAAAGCGAGTTTACCGTACAGCAGCTCGGAACGTCCTTCTTTATGGATGTGAAGAATGACCATTAAGAGTAGAAGATTATAGGTGTCTGAGAAGCACTGCTCGTGTATTTTGGGACCACAGAGTAAGCAATGCCTGGATTAAGATTAGGGTATTAGGTAATGATGTCAAATCGATAGAAGAGATAGTAAATCTTGGTCAATTAAGATGGTTGGGACATGTGTCACGTATGCCAAACCACTGTCTACCTCGACGAATGATGTTTTCTGTTACAGGAGTAGACTGGAAGAAAGCTAGAGGGTCCGGACCAAAACATGGAATCAGTTCATGAAGTCAATGACAATTAGACTTAGCAATGTTAATAGGTATAGACTACCTAGTTGGGGTCTGCATGACTATCATAACCAGCGGTTACAGACTTTGGATGATATGGTCCAGGCAGTCAGCTACAACGTAGGACCAGAAACATATATGCATCGTTCGAAGTTGTCACACCTCATTAGCACAACAACATGAACGCCGAATTCATAGAAGCGTTAATTCTATGGTAGTATTATATAAAAGTGAGATTGCATGTTAGGATATTGTACAGAAAGATATGAAGCAATTTTAATCTCAAGGTTTAAGGGAAGACAGAGAGAGTATACGCCTACGCCATTGTGATCGATTCTGAGCTATGTCACCCAGAGTCTCCAACCATTGGTTACGATAGTCACGCGGACACCAACCAAGTAGTCTGCATCTACCAACATGGCTAAGACTAGAAGTTAGTGACTTCAATCACTGATGTCACATTTTGGTTTGGCCCCAACCATCCCCAATACTAGTCAGCATTGTGCACCGTGGTGATCAGTTTTCAGGCATACGTAACACGTGGCCCAACCATCTCAATCGATGAAGATTTACAACTTCATCAATATTTCTAAGGCATCTGTGGTCAAATACTAGCAGCTTACGACTATCTTCTCTTAATGGCCACGTTTTGCAGCCATAAAGTAAAACAAACCATACTGCTGTGCAGTATACTCATTCTTTAATTGATAGACGGATATCTTACCTTAACCATAGGTGACGTAAGTTGGCAAAAGCCAAACGAGCTTTTTGAATCCATGTTGAGATTTCGTCAGACACCAACCCATTAGGGCTGATCAGACTTCCAAGATAAGTGAAGTTGTCGACGCGTTCGACTACTTCACTCCCTATCCTTAGTTCAGGTGTTGACGCAGGCAAGTTCTGGAGCAACAATTGACATTTAGAGGGGAAGAAACGCATCCCAAGCATCCTTGCATTGTTATTCAGTGCTACCAAAAGACTATGCATTGCATTAGCGTCTTCACCAAACACGACTATATCATCCGCGTATTCTAAGTCCCCAAGTGAAACTCCTGGTAGGAGATCAATGCCCAAAAATTCAGTCGATGAGAGCGTTATTTCCAGCAATAGGTCTATGAAGTCAAACAAAAATTGAGATAGCGGACAGTCTTGCCGGACACCACTTGAGGTTAGAAAATCAGATGACAGTTCGCTATAAGCTCTGACTTGACTAGTGTTAGAGTAGAGCCTTCACAAGGTTTATGTACTTCTGGGATACATCTTTCAAAGACAGACTGTCACGTAACCTCTCGGTCTACGGTCCAAATGCATCCATTTACTGTTTTTCCCTAAATTATGAGCTTCTAGATTCCTCATAAAATTTTCAGTGTTTTTATTTCACTGGTTTATATTTTCTTTTTAAAGTGTCTTTAACGCCTAATCTTTCTTATTACTATTGATACTGTTACTAGCTTTACTATTTTGGGATTTGACCTGACGATTTCATCTCTCTGTGCTAATGGGGTACAGCTACTTTAGTCAAAGTACATGAGTACGAGGCTCTACGTTGTGAATGACCGACTGAATGAAAAACACCAACTTAATCAACCATAACTTGCATATGTATGACCTAATATACCGTTTAATGTAACATAATATTTATGGATTTATAGCTGTGGTCTGAAGAAGATATTGGAAACGATTATTCACTCAGATACTCCTTGTCTTTTGTAAATTTAGCAGTTGACAATCAACAGCAACTCCTTAATTAAGTGTTCACTAAACAAGAAGTGATGAGCGGATATCAAACAAGCACCAAGCACACATATTTGAGAAGTACGACTTAAACTCATGAAAAAATATCAGGACAAAACACAGAAAAGTGAACAACATACCCCATATCACAAAGTATCCTACAGAATTCTGATCGTACACGCAGAAGAGGATGAAGATGTCCAGATGGTAGAGCGGCACCAAGAGAGTAAAAGTTATAAGCCTTAAATTTAGCTGTTTGCCATTCTCCACTAACGAAAATGTAAGCGCAAACCACATGAAAACAGAACATTAATTTGAATAGGAGTGGTACTCACAATGATAAAGTTAATAACACTGTGACAGAGTAGTTATTTGTACTGGGATCTTAGTCACACTTATTTCAGAGCAACGTACTAAATTATATGTAGTGGGAATTGAACTTAATGATCCTCAGTTAAGTTGAATACTTAAGTGATTGAAAATTATAATTACATTTCTTGAAAGATTAAGAGCGACATGTACATAAAGCCAGTTATTTATATGATGGTAGCAATAAATTACAGTATCCTTTTGAACGAATTGATCTAATTTCACTACTAATAATATTTACTTTAACTGTCTGAGGCTGAAGAAGCAGGAGGAAAACTAATTGACTTTAAGAATACATATAGATTTTTAAGTCAGCCAAGTACATCAAAGTACTACGGAGATTGATAATTTTAACCAACTGTTTTAATTTTAGTGTGATTTGGCACGGCTATTTAATTAGAGCATGATAGAAACCAAAAGTTTAACAAAGTCTAATACAGTAAAACCAGGTGAACATAACGCTCATAACTATTACTTACTAAAGACATTAAAGAATTGTTGAGACGATGTTACTATATGCACTCGATTACAGTACTCAAAGTTGTATGATCCTTTCTTTCCGTCATCAAACCGCCAAACTGTGCAGAAATCTGCTGTCAGACTTTACACCAGCTAGATATAACCACTGAAAGCCTATGAATGTGTGAAGGTTACGAGTACTCGACTATGTGTCTTTGAAATATTCACTAAAATTTGTAGGACCACTAAGATGGTGATTTTGAAATTAGTCGATTTGAGTGTCGAAGCTACTGATTAGATTGTATTATACTAATTGAGACACCATCTGCAGAGTTATACAATGCTACTAGGAGCAGGGCTAGACTAAATATTGCAAGGACGATTAAACTAACATACACTACCGACTCCTGTGGCCACTAAATACTTTCCTGAAATATTAAATATATTTTGGCCTTATTGAGGACAATTAATGGTGTTGAGAACCCAATACATTGTTGCCTAAAACTAATAACAGACTATGGTTACTACAGAGCTACAGAAAGTAGTATTTTCATCCGAACTGTGACCATGAAGCTCCAAAGGACACCAAACGAAACTCCCCTAAACCAAGACACCCAACCTGAGGATCCAAGACTCTCGTTAGTATTAAGATATTTGTCGAGCGCGTTTTCTTGAGACCAGGTCGCATCAGCGATTTGAGATCGTTCGGAAAGGACAGAACTTTTAATATATATGAGTCGTCGAGTGAATTGAAGATAAGTATAGACAAAATAGGAATAAAGAAATATATATGAGTGACACTGTAAAATAAGAATGTAACCAAATTATTCTGAATATCGTTTGCAGGGAAACAAAGTAGAGCATCAGTATATTCTCAAATGGTAGTCATCATAAAAATGGTAGGCTGAGATACAGGTTACAAGAACCACATCTAAATAATGTGTTTAAAAGTGAAGGTATTTAATACTTCCAAAATGTAATGTATTTCTGAAAGACACTGAGCGTTTGTCGATTAAGTGCAATTTGTATAGGTTGTGTATTATCGCACAATATGACAATATCATCCACATACTTAAGGTCAAGAAATCTTTATATTTACATTTGTTTCTTCGATCTTACTCAATTCCTATCATTTTTTTCTTCATAATGTCATCTCCGTATTTTGTGTAGTGCATTCTATCCTGTTGCGCAGTTGTACCAGATTTGCGTGTACTAAATAAATATCTCGGCGACTTGTCGTACCGAAGTTTCTTCATGTGTTATAAGTAAATGAATAAGGATAACTATCAAACTTGTCTTCAGAGTAATTAACTAATGAAATAATTGTTTGCTTTAACAGGAAAAATGTATACACAGTGTACTTTTGAATACACATTGTTCAGATCATTGATAAAGATTACTTAATTACGAACAATAAGAATAATCTATCGAACTGGGACCATGTGTCCAAAGTACATGCTTACACGTTTTGCGAGTGGCATAAAAAATAAGAGTTCGAGCAAATTGATTTGGCAAAGATGGATGATGACCAGCAGTGGAATTTATGACGTGCGTTCCGTTCTATTCGGGACTCACTATCTGAATGTACTTGCATCCCTGAGTTGATGTCTACTTCAAGACTCGAACTCAGTACCGTTCACTCCAAACGCTATCGCGCTATCCACTTATCTACTGAGTCTGTACAGCCACTGGCTTGTGTTTATAATGTTCGTGATTCAAGGCAATATCGAGGTAATCTGCAAAGAATGCACATATGCCAATAAGAGACTGGTCATTTTCAGTCATAAACATCAATGGGAAGATTCAAGCAAACAATACAAAAAATGGATATCTTATTTTGTATCTGTGAAATCCTATTAGGTACGAAATCACAAGATTGTATCAGATCATTATAATATGGCTTGGGAGAATTCATATTTGACAAAATACGGAGGCAAAAGTACTGTGATTTGATGCATGAACAATGATTTCTCACCTGAAAAGCAACTCAGATGATAAATCCGTTTCTTCAGATTTTATATTTGTTGAAAATGATGGACCTTTTCGTACCAAGTAGGATGTGCGCTTTCTATAAATTTATGATTGTGATGAAAATTAGATTAACATACAATTCGGTAACCAGTTTTCGTTTTTTCAATTGAGACTTTTCGTTATTTGATAAGGGACGTCTAGACTCTTTTACATCTGACAACAACCGTTGCACATCATCTTTGACTTCTGGGATCTAATATGATATTTCGCAGTAACTACACACTTACCAAACGATGCAAATAAGGTACACCAGCCTCATTCTTGGTGAGTGATATCCACTTTGACGAAAGGGCTTTGCTAATACCTATTTTAGCACCTGGAAATATTTTCTATCAAACTATAAATTTCGCATCAGTAACAAACCAAAATATCACTTTGTAGTATCCCTGATTCTGGGATAGCACAGTATACTCTGTATTCATGGCTACCACTGTTTAAAATCTCATCACCTTCTTCTGTTAACTGTAAAATAACCTCAACCACATCTTCACACTGTATAATCTATAGACAGCAAAATATATAAGCATTTTCAAGAACGTACCCCACTGTAGTTTTCCAAACTTTTTATTCCTCCAACAACTATTTGGTGATCGACTCCAAGCTTCTCAGCCAGTTTATCTGATTTAAAATAACTCTCACCCGTTAACTCAAGAAGAATCAAGTTTTGAATATCCATTGGATTTTAGCTGCTGAATTAAACAAGAAAAGCAAGGAAAGATCGCAGCTAGGTTACGTTAGCCCTGAAATGCAGGGAAAGGAAGAATGCTTCCACAGCTGGGATTAGGAATGTTCCTAGTTGCGTAAACCTATCCGTTCTTTTGCAAATAAACAACTTTATGAGATCATAGAAAAGCCTGTAATGTACAAATAGACAGTTCCTTTAGCATTGTTTCTCTTATGCTGTCCTAGTATTAGTTGTAAATCCTTCAGTACTTATTTGACACTAATAATTCTGAATCAACCTGTGTACGAAACGTTTACACCATCAAAACACAGTCACATGCTTTCACTAAAATGACTATGCATTTATATTTCTAAAACTTATGCTTCATTGAATGAGTTTAGAAAAGTGTAATGTGAATTTTGAACTTCCATGCATTAAAATTAACAACTATACTGCTTTCAGTCCTCATATACATCTAAATTTATGCTCAACACAACTACAGAAGAATGGACAGAAATCTTAACAATATGGTCATGCCTGAAACTGTACAACGATGGTTTGATTATGCATAGTGTTTTAGTTTTGACTCTTGATCAATCAATAAAGTGTGGAATAATAGAAGCATGTGACACCCTCAGAGAACTGTTGATGATAACGATAGGCTGCATTTCCCCGGGAAATATGTCATATAATTGCTATTATCAATCCCAACCCCATAGGACAATAGCAACTAGGTGTTCCATCATCATGTCATTATGAGGACAAACAGAAAACACAGTAATACCCACAGTTATAGCACGTCCCCTTGACTTGATTCACATAGAGGAACAATCAGAAAGAGAAAAAGTAAGAAAGAGGGGTAACAACGATATTTGTTTTCCTGAAACAATTATGATAGCTACATTATCCCTTTTCCCGTCTTTATTTGATCTTTTCATAGATATCCTATTATAAATAACGCTGTCACCATGACTCTTCAGGAACCGCTCTCCTACCAGGTCTACATACCTACTTGTAATACGCAGATGACGAAGTTCTCTGAGGGAATACAGTGTCATCTAATCACCTTGCGGGAAAATTCAAGGATGTTTGGGATGTGCTTTTCTCCGTCTAAATGCAAAATGTTGCTTGAGGACTGTGCTGACATCCAAACTAATGATAGAGACTGAAGTGGTTGAGCCCGTTAAACACTCCATTTATCTTCGAAGTCTCGCTAGACTTGTTCGGTCGGTGCCTGAGGAAATTTCGACACGGTTTCAGAAAATTCACTTATCTTTTGTCAACTTACGGCTTCTGTGGCGTAACCGAGATCTCTGCCTGTCAACCAAAGAAAAAATGTACTGTGTAGCATTTCAATCCTTCCTATTTTATGGTTGTAAATTAAAGCCTTTAAAAGTAGGTGTCCGTTGGTTGTTAGTATTCGGTCGTCGATACCTTTGAAGCATTTCCCATGTGTTGGGATTGCCAAGTAAGAAATGCCGAGGTTGGGCGCAGAGTACTAAGTAAAGATGCCAAATGTGTTAGTGAGATAGCAAACGTCGATTGACTTGCATGACTGGAAGATTATTATGTCGTCGAACTACCTCCTGCCCTAACACGTGACGTTTGTCGATGCAGGATTGGGTTGTAATAAAGCTAGGGACAGCGAAAACCAAGATTTGGCATCTCTCCATGAAGTGATTGAATGTTTGATTGAGCCGTATTGGTAGGTGCGGACTACTAGTTTTGAGTCTGCACGTTTATCTTAACCAATTGCTAGGGATGTTGGATGATGTCTGAGAATAGGTCACAATAGTGTAAATACATTTACTCTTCGTTTCTCTGTAGATCTTGAGCTTTAAAATTATCTCGTGTTTTTTTACTCCACGAATTCCTACCGAATCACATTGTCAATGCATGGTCTTTCCTACGCCTCCAAGTGCCGTGGTACGGTCGTGGATGTGGAGAGCCCTCTCTTCCTCTCGAAATTCTCTCATTTGACTACTTCCTTCTTGCAGTGGGGTTGTTGTTGTTGTTTACGAAACTGGAAGGACGAAAAGAGAATGTCCGGCACTTAAGCCGGGTTAGTGGGCACGGCGATCCACCTACGTAGGTTGGAAAACTCTGATTCTAAACTAATGGTGCGCATTGGCTTCAAGATCCCCAGGGAATAAATGGGGTGTCAACCTACTCTTGATCACCGGCCACCATGGAACTGGGTCTCCTGACGTTGCTCCACTGCATCGAGGATTAGACCTGTGGGTCAGAGCCTCGAGGAGTGTACCTCCAAGGAAATCACCTGTCTCTGTTTGGGCACCTTGAAAGTATTCCAGCCCACACACAAATCGAATGGTAACTATTTTGTGTGGCGCACATCTATTTCGGCCCCTCCTTGTACCGATGTTTATGTGTTCAAATAAGTGAAGTAGATAAGTTTTTCCTATCATCACATACTGTCACTACTTTTAGTTCTCTCTTATACTTGTGTTGATACTTTCATCTCAATGTGCTTGCTATATTTTGACAACTGAAAGAGACTCACATATGTGGTAGTGTCTTAATAGAAAATCTTTTAACTGGAAGTTATTAATTTACTACTCCAAACGTATTTATTTTCATATTGCCACGATTGTATGGTTGTGGGAGTTTTTGTTTGAATTCCTTTGAATGTATATCAATATGTTCTATCTACATTCTAAATCTCAGTGTGTCACTCCCGTTGTCCTAGGCATTGCAGAATATATTTAACAAGATGGGTGTGACTCTACTGTTGATTTGATAAAATTGACATGCTTTAAAATACTGAAATCCTCATTATGAAACGCAACTGTCTTCCTATTTGTCAAGTGCTCCAACATCGTTTTGCGTCGTGTGAAATAGAATTTCAATTTGCCAGTATAGTTCATAAAACCACCGAAAATTCATCAATCTACCATCTAGTCTAACGTATCTTGGAACTTTTTCTCGATGTTACAGAATAACTTAATCAATGATATGAAACGCAGTTTTCTGTCATAACGCAGCTGTTTGCTTTTTGTGGTTGTCTGCAAATGATTGATCTCAGTAGAATAAAAACAATCTGTCTTCGGTATATATGTTGGTTTAAGGGTAGTTGTGTAACCGTGTCTTAGTGTTGTGCATACTTGATTTTCGACTACCAGTTTGTAAGTAGTAATATGTCGCGATTTTCTCGTATGAGACCAGTTAATCATCATTAAATATTATTTTAAAATTATCAACTACTTCCGGGTTGCTTTCATTGAGTTCATTTTTCTGAAAGCTTACTTGTCTTAAGTGCGTAGCTGTAATGCTAATAAGTTGTGTTGGGAAGAATGGATGTACACACATCGACTTGTAAATCACCCTTTATACTAAGGTTAAGGGTACTGGCTAGTCAGTTGTAAGAAATGTGGCGGTTGAAAAACTCTGGTCGAACACCTGAAAGGGAATCGTCTAACACACAGTTCCACTCAGTCAGACCTTACAAATCTTTTGACTAAAAGTATCATTGACCACCAGCACAGACTATTTGCAGATATTTATGGAGTGTTCATATTCAGCGTTTCCAAATTAGGTCAGGCATGCAGTGTTCAAGTCTAGGAAGGATCGTAGAGAATAGACGTTATTTACTGCTCATTTTTTCTAATGGTAGGTGGTTGTGCTAACGAGGTATGGCAACTTGGACCGATGCATATATGTGCCTGGTCCTACGTTGTAGCTGACTGACTGACTGAGTGGTAGGTCTCAAAACAAGTAAAGCAATATCAATGAAGAATGAGATTCCATAGCCCTATGCTACGGTAGGCCAAGTTTGTGCAAATCAAGTATTCTATTAAGTCTAATTAAAATAAATGTATATTTGTCATCTTGATAGTTGGCTGAAAGGTCATTTTCCAACTATTTACTGCATAGTCATCATAGGTTGCTTTTTTAATGAAAAAGCATTCGCAAAAGCCTTCATAAGTTTTGAAAACTTTACGACGGTACCTTAGTTTTAAAAGACTTGATTTTCCATTTCTGTTCATCACATTCATTCCTCATCCTAAACATTTCAGATTTTCAGAAATGCCTACGAACAATTATGTTGAATGCAGTTTTTGGAATTTCGATAGTCTTTTTCAACCACAACAACATCCTGCTCGAGATGCACATGATACATTTTTCCTTTCGGGTAAATTATTAGCCAGCTATTGAAGTTTTGAGTTGAATTATTTGGTCTTTTTGTGTCCATGTGAATATCTTCTGTGGGATGGTTGGTTGGTTTGTTAGTTGGGCAGTACCGTTTTTATATTCTAACTATTGACAAAAGTCTATTGTCAAAGCGAGTACAATTAGTGCTAGTCATCCTCCAACCGATTTATTTTACATAATCAATTTGGTGATTAACGGTGTCGAGTTTGACGTGATGTTCCAGACGAAAGGAGACGGAATGAACAACATTCGTTCTGTGTATTAATCCGTTGATTGTATTACACTTTTATCGATATTTTTCACTGATCGACAGCATTAAAAGTTTGATCTAAGTTGAACAATATGTGTTCAAAAACGATGACTGACCGAGTGGTGTACCAGCGCTTCGGGGAATGTCACTAACAAGTTAAGTATGTGCTCATATGTAACCGATTGACTAGAGTATAACTGTTGTTGTTTATTGTCAATAGTGTCTGATGCATTGGAATTAGAACTTATCACACCAGTTGGAATGGAATATGAAATTTAATTTGAGATTCTGTTATGACATGTCTTTGTTTAGATTACTTTTTCTACGACAATTCAGTGGATTACTTGCTTGGTTGTAGTTTGTTGATATTCTCACCGAACTTGCAACCAACTGGTAATTACTCATTGAAGCTCCAAAATCGTATCATTTATGTTTTATAATGACTAGCCTGCTATATAGAAAATGCGATTATTTGAAATTTGTGTTGTTATTAACTTTTATTGTAAATTTAGAAATAAATTCTGACTTGATTTATAGTCTCATTTTTATTGTCTTCATTCGTCATGATTACTATATTCTCATCTGTAGATCCTGAGATTTCAGATATTAACAAAACAGTCGAAACTTGTTACATTGATAAAGTTCGTACTGCGCATAGTCAAGGTGCTTTTGGTAGTCGAGGCTATCAGTCACCATGGCTAATGGAGGAAGCGGAGAAAAATTTGTTGCGTACACATACAACAGCAGTGAGCGCCCGTATGCTTCATGCATTATCTAAAAAGGTAGGTGAGATCTTTCTACAGTAAGAATAATTGGGCTTGTTTTCTTAAGGATGTCGATAGATTCTGTTCAAATAGTATAGTATGGCATCTGATGTTTATTTCGCGATTTACCAATGGCTGAATGTCTCGTTATAGGTTTTAACCAAAACCCAACCAATGCTTCTCAAAATATTCCATGTCAATCAGACCAATGGGAACTTGTGGAGTGTTCATGCTCTTGATTTAACAAGAAAGATGTGTTCTAAAACACTGATTACCATAAATAAACACCTGACTTCATTTGGTTTGATAAATTCCTATGTCGTGTCGTTGGCGGAGAGATTTAATACCTCAACAGTGGATATAAAATAATTTTTATGTCATTGGCCATAGTTAACCTTGGTGACTTAGGAACTAAGAATTTTAATAATCATACCAAAACATGAGTAATTCGATGAGTTAGTAGTGTTGGGTTAAAGGAACAAGTATTATAGGGTCAAATTGAAAGGGTGATGAACCAAAATTTACGTTGCAATGATAGTAGTACGCTTAAATGAAGAATATTCAGCTCCTCTAAGGGTACATAAGAGGATAATGTAGAATTTTTAACGGAAATATGTCTGTGCAACCTAGATATCCCATTGAAATGATGAACCGATCTAAGTTAGACTACCATTGGTGAACTGGAAGTACAATAGCCATTCAATCATAGTACGAGACTCCTCAGAAGCGTTCAATCGTGATGCCACACACGGGAAACTGACCTAGAACCTTCGGTTGGTTAGCGACGTCAATGGATTTCAACAGTTTCCTCAACCACATACTAAAAGCGATCATGTGGTCACTGGTGAAAGAAAATTTTGTTGAAAGAAAAATTTCAGAGTTCTGATGTAAAGTCGTGCCTAATGTAACCAAACTATGTTGGATGTAAGGTAGTTTCCCTCCGAAGACAATAGAAGATGGTCACGCAATATTGTGGGTTGATTGAAGTTGGACATTGGATGCAGACTCAGTGGTCTAGTGGACCAGCGTTTGCGCGTGAGACCAAAGTTCCTAGGTTTTCTCTCATGCGCTCCATACTAAAACGAAACAGTCTTCCAGCGGTGGTCCGACGGAGATCAGTTCATGATTCCAATGAAATTCAACTGTCCCCACAACCCTATATCGATAATGTGGATGTATTGAAAACTTGTGCTCCTAATACGAAAAATCAGTTGTAAACACACACTTCAATCATTATCTTTCTTCTGTCTCTTTACGGTCAATGTATGACAACTAATATCATCAAATTGATCGTTTTCGTTTCTAAAACTGCTATATCACGTAAAGCTGATAATCTCTAATGAGAATCCATATTCCCTAATCTGTCTGAGTGTGATTTATTTTAACATTTCACAATGTGCTTTAGTAATAATGATGATAATGATAAGTAGTTGTCTTTCTTAGTTCTCTTATTAGACTATAAATTCGTGCAATTTATTGCTCATTGATGAGATCACTTAGAGGTCAGTGTGCAGTTTCCTTATAAAGTATGATGTTAATTATAAGGGGCAATATCTACCAATGAAATTTTCTATGATGTGTGAGGTGTTACCTTACAGTCAAGTGTGCCTTTTTAGTCTTTGTGATGGGTAAAAATATTCAACTCCCCATAGGTGATCATTTTAAAACCCATTTTCAGTAACAAAAGCGTGATTGTTGTCTGCAGTAACCTCGCATAGACAGGTATCTGATAATGAATAACTACTACTCATTTGAACCATAGTGTTTGAGATACTGATATATTGTTACTCTTCAGATGGTCATCATAAAAATGTAGTCCGATTTTAGAGTGCATACGTACTGAGAGGCTTGTCGACGCTGAACAGTTAAAACCAGTGTATTTTCCAAGTTTCACTAGGTCTTAAAATACTGATCAACTCTTTTTATTAGAGAGATAATAAAAACTAATGTCAGTGAGTTGACTCTGATTGTGTATTTTGATGTTTAAAAAATGTTGATAGTAAATAGATAATTTGAAATAGTCTGCTAACGTTTAAACATGTGATGAGTTAATACTGTGCTGCCCTGTCTTGGTATCTAAACTATCAAGAAGGTTGAACAGTAAACTCTATGATTTAGCTCTTCTGACCCCCATGCCAATTCTTTTGACATTGAATATTTAGTTGAGGCTTAACTATCTTATGCACATTGATTCTTCATGTAACATGGCAACTGGTACCCTGATAAAGTGATAGTTCTCTTGTTAAACGTCCAACCATTAATTTAGTATGACTACCTGAATGAATTCTTGTCTCCCAGTTAATGAACTTTTAACCTTACAACGAACCGTAGCGTGAAACAAATATGATATATACATGGTTTGTTTTATTATCGCATTGTCTGTATGTGTTATGTTTGTAGAATCCATTTACTCCAGCTAAATATTACAGTATTGATCGTGTGTTTCGAAATGAAAATCTGGACGCCACTCATTTGGCAGAATTTCATCAAGTTGAAGGTCTAGTTGCTGACTTTGGTCTTAGCTTAGGCCATTTAAAAAGTGTAATTCGAACTTTCTTTTCAAAGTTGGGACTTACGCAACTGAGATTCAAACCAGCATATAATCCATATACTGAACCGAGTATGGAAATTTTTAGTTATCATCCTGGTGAGTAAATATTCTCAAAAATCATTGATTTATGCTTTTGTACACCATACTTCATAATTTGCTAAACTATTTGTTCCTTTTTACATTACCGTAGGTTTCCTATTCATATCTTAGATTAATTCTCATTGGTCTAGCATGGCCTTTTTGTTACATCGCGGATTAAATGTTTAATGTTTATGGAATGGGCAACAGAAATGCCCGTAGCATTCTTATGTTAACGGTCCTCTGATCATCAATATTTCTTAGAACGTGATTGTAACTTAAATATAACACGAATTTTTCAGGACTGTGAACATGTTTCAATGACTGCCAACAAGTCCAAAACCTTGTTTCGTGTATGCGTCCAGCCGGCGCCCAACACTACTACTATTTAAGCTATTATGAATAAAGCAGTTTCGATTCATGACGCAGATTGAAAAAAACCGCTATCTATTGTTGTAACAAACTACATTTCCTGGAGACTTGTTATTCAACTAATAAGTTACGGTTGAGAATTCTACCCCACTTTACAATCCACTTAGTATTACAAACAACCATAATACTTATGGTCCAAAGTCTCATATACTGATGTTTGCATTGTTGCTAAAATTCTGCTGCTTCTCCGAATTTAAATTTCAGGTCTCAAGAAGTGGGTGGAAATAGGTAATTCGGGACTATTTCGTCCGGAAATGCTTAGACCAATGGGGTTACCTGAAGGATTGTCTGTTATAGCCTGGGGATTATCTCTGGAACGGTGAGCTAGTTTAGAGTTTGCTCTTTTTGATACCACCTATTTCTAGAGCATTGTTTGTTTCACTGCTGTGTCGTAGGACATGACGTAATAGTAATTTTATTTACTGTGTTGGCGAAGACGTGTTACATTTGTTCATAGAGAATCGAGGGAATAATACAACGTACTTGCACTTATTGTGAGGGTAACTAATATAACCATTCTGTCCAGACGAAAACAGACGGAATGAACAACATTCTCTCTATAAGGTCAAAATTTACAAACAAAGAAAGATTATTGTGATAAAATAGTCATACACTCAACCACTTGTGATCATGGTCACGTAAAAATTTCTGTAAGGGTGAATCAGACCGTTATGAGCAGCTAGCTTTCTATGTGCAAAATCGATCTAATCTGACAAATCTTCAGAAGCAAACTGACAGCCATCTAAATATGCATCTATGTTTCAGCTATTTGTAGCAGTGTCTATCAGTCTCATTGAAGTTCTTAACGCTTTTATGAAGAAGAAAAGTACGTTCATTACCTTCGAACGCCAACGATCACCCAACTAAATGTTATTTAAGTAATCCATCCTATCGACAAAACATTTTTCCCTAAGTATTGAAAAGATTCACATAATCACATATTTGTACTTTATATGTTGTCGATGGTAAAACGAAAGAGGAGTTCTGAGACTGACCAACATTTTCCCACTCTTTCGTTGGCTTAAAACATGACTTCTTGTAATACAAAAACCCTCGCTTTCCAGAGAGTTAATAGTTCTAAACTCAGCTACGCTTGATATTTAATTGGGATACTTGTCTTACTTGCCAGAAATATACTGTGATCTAACAAGGTGGCTTGAATTTCGACCACTGGGTCTCAGGTCCTAACGTTGTTTGTCTAGTGCGATGACTGCGGTAAGATTAGATCCCTTTTAACCACACGCGAAACATGGTTTCTCGATGGACGGATGAAATTTTGTATACGTGTCTCTGAAACGCATTTCACAACAATAACAAGATTTCCCAAACATGTCGTTCAATATGCACCTACGTGTCTAGGTACGAACATTAAGCTTGAACGGCACCCGTGTCTTAAATTCAAGTGACAATGTGTCGAATTCTGATACGTCTTTCAGAAATCAACTATCTGAGCAAGTTCAAATTTCTCTAAACTGACTAAAATTTCAACAATGACAACAGGTGGTTGAGTTGCGCAAACATTGAAAGTAAAAATAAAAATGGTTATAAATCACATGAAAACAAAATTATACTTATTACTTAAATAGTACACAGATGTGCAGTAATATAAAGTAAATTTCATTGTGAACAAAGTAACTCGAGTCTGACTGATGAATAATTCATATTCGCCATTTGTAATTTCTATGGTTGATGCGAGGCCTCTGACATACTGCTGAGCCCCTAGAGTAAAGTAGGTAATTTTCTCTGATAATATGTCGAACGATTGGTCTGGATGATTCAGTTCATAACGCTACGGTAAAGCGATGTCAGGAAATGCACTTCCATGTTCATTCATATACACCTTTTCATCCCACTCCTGTTGACACTCCTGGCTTTCATGAAGGTAGTAAGTATCACCTCCACATGAAATAATACAAAAGAACAACCGTATAAGACCGTCTACATATGAAAAGTGGACTGACTTCACGGTCGACCGTATCAAGGTAAATAGTGATCGAGAATCGCACTTCAAATAACCCACCGATCATGTCAAAACTGTGAGTATATTTTGCTGGTGAGTACGACTCAAAATTAAACCATATTACTTGACATCCAACAGACTGCTTCCAACTAACTGACAAACTACTTTATATCGTCTTTGCCACATTCACGTTAGTCTTCCATCATCATTAATTTTGTTTTGTTACAAAATATATCAAATTTAACCCTCACAAACCTTTTCATGTGGTTCTGCATTATTTTCTACCACTCTGTTTTTGTTACTTAGTCCAACTATGATTCGATATGGTTATAAAAATATTCGTGATTTAATTGGTCCAAAAATTGATCTCAATATGATATACAAGGCACCATTGTGTCGAATGTACAAGTGTTAGTGCCTGGTTTCGTACCATTTATAATAGCGGTAAGTTGTTTGTGGAAGTGCTAATAAATAATTCAGCCACTCGAAATATGTCACGGATGACCTTGGTAGATTTATATCTAAATGTCTGTAACTTATAAACGATTAGAAACATAACTATAAGTAACTGATCACTAACCACAACAATGCCGCAAAATAATTGTTTTGTAATGATGTAAGGTATTTCAATTGAAAACAACTAAATTTCACATTTCCTCTCCTTATTTCGTATAAACATCTGTAAACTGTGGAGTCAACTGAGTTAAGAGTAGGGTTAGACGTACACCGCCTACATTTGGAGGTGATTACTCCGTTCCGTTAACTAACTAAAATAAGAAACTAGACCAGAAACTATGTTCTTTACATGCAGATTTTAAATGGACTGGGGTGATGAAATCAGTTGATGTTGCGAACTTATCATTGTCTCTGCAGAGACTTGGTTTAACAACAAGATAATTACTAGCTAATATTAAACGAATTTTAGATGAGCATTAACACTAGCTAATTGCAAGTTTGCATCATCTTGAAGCGTTTAGTGTCTCTCAAACAGCAAACAAGTGTTTTTTTCGAAGATTTGTGGATGGGCATGTCTTATTTATTGCAGACTAATTATCGAGTCGTTCATTTTGGTAGCTGGTATTTTTATGTACAACTTAGTTGTTGTTTCTCATCACTGCGATAAATGTTTTGGTCATACATTGGAAGCACAATGATATATAATCAATGATAACCTTAGTTCAGAGAAATATCAAGTCATAATAATTTCATAAGTGAATGAACTTACGACTTTTCTGTTGGATTATGGTATTAAAAAACCTACCAATTAAAGCTATGATCAATTATTCATTTCGGTTAGCTTAAAGGTCTACTTCTGTCGTTGGCCCTTATTAATTGGAAGTGGCGAAATGATACTTGTTGACCGCTAAATATCACTCATATAAGTTTTTCTCATAACTTGTCAAGCTGATTTACTATCATGAGAACAGTTTCATAATATATTAATAATTTGCTACTTCTTGTGCTGATCAACTATTGTGATTCATTAATTCCCGTCATAATTTCCGCGAATATAAATCACTATATGTTGAACAGACTTTAGTTAACTTGCACCACTTGAAACCGACTGTACCAAAAACATTAATTTTATCCTATCGGGACATGAACCTCATGTATATTTGCGTATTGACATGTTTCAACTAGTTACTTTAATTAAATGTGCATTTTATCATTAATGTTAGCAACCGGCAAACAAATTCATAAACCTGCCATCCAGTGGTCTAGGTCTTTCTCCATTTCGCCCGTGAAATCCAAGAGATCTCAATTTTATGACAGTTTGATGGTTGACTCCGACTAGTTTCCTATATATAGTTGACTTTTAGACTATTACTGACAATGATTTGCCTTGATGTTGTTTAGACTATTGACTCAGTACAAGTTTAAACCTACTGATGTTTTGCCAATTAGTTCGTACTATCATCTTTGACTCCTTGGTTGCCGAATACCAACAAGTCATCCTCTTTTAATTCCAGGTAATGGCGAATTTTGTTCGAGAGATTTCCTGGAATGACCAGGGAAGATTGGACTCAGTGAACAGCCCCTATGTCTGCAAAAGCACGGCAAAATACTCACATTAAAAAAGTAACAGACCAACTAGGGGAAGCGTCTTTAGCTGAAGCAACATTAAAAGACTCTTAATATGATGAGATTTGATGGCAGAACAACGGAATTTTGGAAACGTGGCACTTTTTGGCGATTTAAACTGCTTAAGTATATTTGACTATCTTCAGCATTCTTTGCACTATGTATGAAGATTACACTTAGTGTATAAATTTGTGAAAGTGTGACCTAATGGTATGAGTGGTGGACTTCCAACAGGTGTTGAGTGTTTTACTCATGACCGGCCTTCAGACAGACATTACAGAACTTATTTGGTACAAACTCCATCCTCTCATTTATATACTTATCTCTAAACCTTCCACATTGGTCTAAGGAATGGCTTTCGGTACTTAGTAAACATGACAACTGAAGAGTACTTGGTTTGACGTGTGGATGAACATCAGACCCGCTTGTGCTACCCAATGACACTCACCTTATACTCTGAGTCACAGTTTCTTTTAGTAGCAACAACGAACTGCCTTTGGTCGCGATTAGAGAGATCCCTATTGACCACTAATCCGTATCTGATATTAGCAATATCCGACTGCTCTTTCACAAGCTTTCAAAGGTCCTTGAGTAAAAGCTCTCTTTCCCCCTTAAAAATTTGACCTGCCACTTTCAACCGTTCTCTTTGCAAGTGTGCCCCCAAATGTCCTGGTACGGCCGAGAGTGGGGAGAGTCACCTCTCCCTCTCGAAATGCTCTCATATGGCCAGCGAATATATAGCCTCTGCCAGGGAAGTCTTACTCTCTGCATTCTCGTGGCGGGGGTGTTGTTTACGAAAGTGAGAGGACGAAAAGCGAATGTCCGGCGCTTTAACCGGATTGGTGGACACGGAAAGTTCACCTAGGGGAGTTGGAAAACCCTGATTCCAAACCAATGGTGCACATGGGCTCCAGTAACCTGAAGGAACAAATCGCGTATGGATCAATCATTGATCACCGGCTACCATGGGACTGCATCTCCTCATGATGCTCCACTGCCTTGTGGACTAGACCTTCAGGTCAAAGGCTCCGGATACGGCTCTCTAAGAAAACCACCTTCTTCAGTCTGGGAACCTGGGCAGTATCACAGCCCTCACACAAATCGAATGAGATTCATGAGGCGCATATATATCTGGTGCTTCTTGTACCAATATTTATGTGTTTAAATAAACAAATAAATAATACTTTGCAAGCGTAGTGGGAGTTTCGAAAACTTAGTCTCAGTGGTCTTTGTAGAATTCAGATCAAATACATAATTCTTCTGCCTTGGCATTAACTCATGAGTCTTCATCCGATGAGACAGCCTTTTCAAATTACTGGATCAGTCTCCTTAATAGCAGGGATGTTCAGCCTGTTGTCAATAAATGCGTGAACTACGATGTATTTCTGACCGAACGCTTCCTCGAGAAGCACAGACGCTTTGCAATAGCCTCTTTCTGGTTCGAGCAAGGCACAATGAACAATAGTAGCCTTAGCTTCACCATCACAATACTGAACCAAATAGTTTGACCTAAATCGGAATCCAACGCTGTCATCTAAGTACGCTTCGAAATTCCGTATGAAAATCCAATAGTTCATGGGGTTACCATCAAACCTTATGATCCCTCTGTTTGGTAGGTCTAAAGCTTTAGATGTCATTGTTATCCAGTTTTTAGCAGGAGGGATACTAACTCCACGTGAGGCAGATGTAGACTCGTACGACAGCACCTTGTCAGCCACAGCTTGACTATAATGTTTTCTTCCTCTTTGATGTAACCTATCCTACTCAATTTCTTTTTCTGTCTGAGCGAAGCGTACTTCAGCTAATTCTAACTCTAACAGGGGATCTATTCGGTGGCCGTTTCCTTCAAACTGGCCATCAGTATGAGTTTCTAGATAGTAGAGAGACAATTCAGGAATCTGATCAGCTTTATGATTCTTCTGCGTAAACATTTAACAGTACTCAATGTATGAATTTTTGATGAGATACTGGTCGAAACATTGTATGATTTAAATTTTCCTGCAGGTGTTCTACCGGTAATGTAAACGCGATACTGACGACCCGGAGTCTATGTGGAAGCTATAATCAAAACAAGGGCAACGTGGCTTTAAACTTTATCTGCTTCTGAACGTAAAAGGCAATTCGATTTGTGCAATAATTAAAGGAACTATAGTTAATAAGTGAAACGCTCGAAAGTTCTGACTAGTATTGGGTGTCTGATCGAAATGAATAAAAAGTATGAGTTGCAGTCACACATATATGATGTAACAATAATATCCTTCAATTGGTAGGTCACATGCAACAGGGATGGTCTACAGACACAGTAGACCAGGTTAACGTGGTGCGTGTTTAAGCAGCGACTTGATTGGTTAGTTATGGATATAACTAACACCATTTATCCTGTGTTGTTGAAGCATCCAGGTTTAATTTTTACTGATTCTTTTGTTAGGGATAATATAAATCAGAAATTCCTTCGAGTGTTTTAAAATCTCGAAGTAAACAGTTTGTTTCTGTTAATCGAGAAGTTTTACTTGGTAGCTCTAGCTAACATCTTATTCCGAACGCCTTGTCACCATACGTAAATGACTTCCTATTGGTTGCGCTGGTACTACATCTTCCAGTGAATTGATTAAGTTGCTTGATTCATGACTGACTGAACTATGGTGTTAAATAGGATAGTAGGTCTCATACAAATGAAACAGGTGATAATATCACATATAAAATACCCTGTGTGAGCTTACATTTTTAACAATATTGAAATTAAATTGATCGGATGTGAATCCTGTTGTTTACATTAGCTATATAGTATTAACTTTCCTCCATGTTTTCTGTATTTTAGAGTTTTACTACCGTGATATTTAATTTTTGGCATCAGTTGTTTTTGCAAACTTGGAAATTATTTTTACATATGTCTGTAAATGTACATTACTGTATGTACCACTGAATATCTTCGATAAAATTATAGACAGTCAATTGTTTTTAACTTGGAAGTTTGCTTGTCTGTTTTGTAATTTCAACCGTGATGATGTAAAAATTGTATCTTGAGTCAATGACCTACTAGTTCAAACGGACGATAGGTTCAGACTCAACTCTGCCTTAGACCTCAATCTGAGCACCGAATTATTATCTCAGCAACTCTTGTACATCTTAGAACATGAACCATGTAGATCGTTATCAGGCTACATGTACATAAGTCGGCAACCTACTGATGGTGTATTTGACCAGTACCTACAATTTTTTCAATCTCTATCATGATTATCAGTATCAAAGAATGTCGGTGTCCACCAGTACCGAAAAGTGTTATGGGTAGTTAGATTATTAATTGAGTCTTCCAATCGCATGTCAGAACCAAACAAACTGTGTTAAGTCCTACCTCATTTAATGAGTCGATTGTGTGCGCAAAGTCTTTGTAAGGTACTGTTCGCCTGATGAAGTCTCAATCCGTTGTTGCGTTATTTTCAGTGCTGAAAATAAGGAGTCGTGAAAGACAGGGAGACCAGCCCCATACAACTTTTATCCATGCTAAATACTATGACACCAATTCATAAACTAGCCATGCTTTTCTCTAATGCAACCAGACCTAGCCGCAGTAGATAGTTCACCATGTGCATTTCTTCGGAACGACATTTGTAGAGGCTGCCGAACTCGGTGTTCGAAAGTGCTGACACGGGTTAAATTGTCGCCGCTATACGCTAACACCCGTTTACCAACTTCGTCATTACACAAATAGCGCTGCAATTGAATGCCAACCACGGCGATGGTCAAACATACTAAGTCTCTTAACATCCACAGCTCGGAGAGACCAGGTTGCACAAGCTTAGAGCAAAGTTGATCATACTGGCGCCTTGCAGATCTGACCCTTCACAGCTCGAATGATATCACGAAGACGCCAAAGGTATTGTGAATTGCTACAGGTCGCTCTGGGTTTCGCTATATGTAAACTGGTCTCATTTGACAAGCCACTACCAGTACCCACACAACAACCGAAATGCACAGACTTTTCTACTACCTCTAATTGCTGACTACCTAGGGTGATTAGGAAGACGTGTCTTCGTCAGACTCGTATTAGTACGTTGCACTTAGAAGATGTAAAGCACCTGACAAATCTATGAAGGCTGACTGCCAACTACTTAAGTAGGGACTGTTATTTATTTGAACACATAAAAAAACATAAAGGGGAACCAGATACATATGCGCCACATAAAGTCTCATTCGATTTGTGTAAGGGCTTTGATACTACCCGTGTGTCCTAACCGAAGTAGGTGGTTTTCTTAATGGGGGCCACACCCGAAGCCTTTGACCTAAAGGTCTGATCCTCAAGACAGTGGAGCATCTTAAGGAGATGCAGTCTCATGGTAGCCGGTGACCGACGATTGATGCACACGCCATTTGTTTAATTCAGGATACTGGAACCTATGTGCACCATTGATTTGGAACTAGAGTTTTCCAACTCATCTACCAACCCGTTTAACGCGCTGGGCAGCTAAGAGATATGTATGAGTATATTTTATGATCAAAGATCTAGAATTCGGCAGTGGTTACTTGCATCTGAACTATTGTTATTGATTCTTAGTTGTCACCAATAGGCTCAACTGTGACTGAAGCATGCAAGCGTTCATTCCTTTGAAGGAACCGAATTCGTGTTTAAATTACTAGGCCCGTACGAGGTCTCCGCTAGGACGGCCAATAGTACCGTTGGGATTTCAAGTGTCCATCACTGCCTATCCTTACATAACATATACTTGTTTAGACTGTTTTCCTTTTTCTAAACTTTTACTGTGTACTATCTCTTCAATTTTCTCACTGTTTACTCTTTGGTTTATTGAGCAGAATGAACAGTAAAGGCATTTTCACCAATACTTAAAGTAAAACGTTAAGAACGACTAGCAGGGGGATTAGTTTAGGAAAAAATGACGAGCCAGAAAGTCCTGAGAAAACCCACAACTACACTAGATAATGGACTTAAGTGTGCAGTGTACGACTTGGTTTACTTGGCTCAATTACTCAAACCTAGTCTCCAACTAGATGCTGAGGACTACGTCACAACATATATTCTCACATCCTTAGTTCTCGGTGGTGTGCAGCTTACTCAGGAGTACAGACAACAATGGTTATTGCGGCGTATGTTTCTCTATTTAAAACCGAGAGATCGGAATAAAGATGTATTTTCTGTAGTATATGGGTCTGCCGTTGGTTTGAAATTGCAGGACATAAATAAAAATGCAGGTTTAAATTTCATCTGTCCATTGTTCTGATACATATGCAAACGGCGCAGAAACAACGCACGAAGCAAATCGAGAAGGGAGAAGCACATTACTCGAACCACCCAACACAGCCAAAACGTCACTTGAAGATCATAGTAGCAACAACCTTGGCAAATACACTTTAAGCAGTAGGTGTGGTTTATTGAGGTTAGGAAGGAAATCAACATAATCTGAGAGCAGCTTGCCTGAAAGTAGGACAGCCTCTGATTAGGAACAGAGGAGGCAGATATTATGTGATGCCTAAACAGAGTGACATGCCTTCAAACTGTGGAGCTAGTTACCGTAGCATAAATATGTCCTCTCAAGTTTCAGTTAGATATGATGGGCCGTAAATGATGTCATCAGGAGATCACTGACGAATACCTAAGAACAACCTGAGTAGTGATTCACGAGGTACCTGAGCTAGTGACTGGTATTACTTACGAAACCCACGGACGTTTTATGTAGCATCGGCATTGACTATTACCTGTCATGGACCTTCATACAAAGTAAATAATTATCGCGTCTTTTGGTTCCTCGTCCTTAAAGCCTCACGGTTATTAAGTTTGCGTGACTGAAGCTCTCCAGGCCTGCTAAATTTTGAAAAGTGACATCTCGATCCGCAGCTGATGTTGTGAAGGACGACCTGAAAAAGCCAAATAGGACACAACTGAATGTAAACTTATCTCCATCAGGAATCCATGATATAGTACATTGAGGACACTGTTAATCGAAAGGGACTCAATATACTGACGAAAATCCTTCATTATCCAGTTTACACCGAATTGCCGACCCACCTCAAACAGAAATCTCTTCATAATCCCATAACCAGTTGCTTTTGTGAAGGACCAATAGATAAAGAGAAAAATAATCAAAAGTCTTTGCAACAATATATGGAGTTAAAGGTGTAAATCAGGATATACCTGAAACAAGTGCCTTCACTTGGATATGAAGATCCCAATACATGTCTCTCCTACACTATCACTAACGAAGGAGTGAGCACTCATAACTTGACATTTCCGATGTGACAGGGTACGAAATGCAAGAGGACTGTCGATATATATTAACAAGCATACGAAAGGCGTAATATCACACAGTTCTGAGTAAACCGATATGATGGAACCGTACTGATGTTGCTTTAACGTGAACGGCATCATCCACTTAGTTGAAGGAATCTAGCGGCTACCCACAGCCACGAATACTCCAAAAGACGAGATAATCTAGATACCAATATAACTACCGCATCTGAAGTTCGACCCGGAATTTTTATTCGGAGACTTTAACAGCGTATATTAATCGCAATAATCATGTTACAGCATCTACTGAAGTCAATGGTCCATGTCACGCAACTTAATTACTATCATCATCGGCATATGAGACTAACTTATTCCCATCTCGTTTCTTATCACCATCATTCTTGCTTTTGTTCCTGAATTTTCGTCTTCTTATACTGTCTCATTTACCGACCAATCAACCCAATTAATCATTTAGTTAGTTCTAGAAACCATCGTCCTCCCTTGGTACTTGAATTATAATTTTATTAAACTCCACATCGAAAGCGTCCAACCAACCTTCTGTCTTGCAAGTTGATAGCTACTGATATACAAAAAATCTACTACCTTTAGACAAACTCATTCACCAAGATTACAAGATATGCTAACCCACAATAACTACCATACTGACTGAGTGCAGTCAAATCAATGAGCTACCGCCTATTAGACATTACCAAATAGCTGGAACTTTACCGAAACGTAAAGAAGTGAGCACATATAAATCGACCGATTCATATAAAATCGCCTTAAAGATATTGGATATTGAATGAATTGATTGGTCGCTAGGATATTAGGCGACTACTCAACTAAACTTTCCACACCCAGAATTTACTAAATTTTTATTTGTTCATCACATTATTTTCATTTCACGCTTGTACCACTACTTGTTGTGATCAATGTGATTGTTTCGTCTTCAAAGCATAAACAGCAAAACTTGGAAGTAGATATAGCTATGCCAACCTAGGTTATAACCTAGGTTGGTTATGGGATTGACCACTACAGAAGTTTAGGATGTATTAACTCGTTGTCAGTTACATAGCCCACATAAGTTTCTGTCAAGTAAATAGTTTATTCAAAGTTACTGTTGTGATATTTAACTGACAGAATTAAATGACATTTTCCCTGCTCATAAGAATTCTTATATATGATATATATATGATATACACTTAAGTGTATATCATTTCTATATAACAACAATTGGTCTTATTTCAGGAATTTCACTGCAATGAGCAATGAAGTAGTACCTTTTTCAAAACCAAGGAGCTCCGATACGTTATTATCTACTTGCCAATCAACAGATTTGGATGATCATGTTAGTGAAAATAGACTATTAAAGATGAAGATATTAGAACTGTCATCAGAATTACAGAGGAATATAATTTATTTCAATCGACTTTTGGGGTAAGTCTTTGAAATTTTCTACGAACCATCCCAAACTGAGGAATGCACTTTCTAAGCAGGACAAAATGATAGCTAACTATTTATAAAGGTCACTGTTTTCACTCACATTGTTCATTGACGAGTAATCTTGAAACAAACCATCTATAATATCAATAAGAGTATAAAAATGACAAAAGTATTCCATGTATTTCGCGATATGGAAACCCCCAAACCTTTCTCAACTAGTTGCCTCAAAATTACATATCTTTACGGAATCCAGCCTGTTGATCTCGAAGTTGTGCGTCTACTGCCTCTTTCATGCGGTTCAGCAACACTATTGAAAACTTTTCCTGTTACGGACAACGGTATGATGCCTCTGATGTTTACACATTTACTCAGATCTCCTTTCTTTGGTATCTTGATGAGATATCCTTCTTTCCTGTCCGTTGGCACTTGTTCTTCCTCCCAAATCTTGAATAGAAGGTGAAACATCTATGCGGTTACTTCAATGTCTGACTTCAGTGCTTCAGCTGGTATATTGTCAGGTCCTGCCGCTTTCTCATTCTTGATTTGTCTGATGACCATTCTGATTTCTTCGACCGTTGGTGGAGTGACATTTATAGGAAGGCTTGTGTGTGCTGCCTCGATGTCCTGTGGATTCAATGGGGCTGGTCTATTCAGTGGTTCCTCAAAGTATTCTGTCAATCTTTTGCCTGTTCTTGAATCTCCGTGATTGTCTTTCCTTCTTTGTCATTGACTGGTCTCTCTGGTTTACCGAATTTCCCCGCTAGTTTCTTCGTTATCATATAGTTGTTTCATATTTCGCTCTATTGAAGCTTTTCCCTCTGTCGTCGCTGGCTCTTCAACGAACTTCTACTTGTCGGCCCTAATGCTTTTCACTTGCTTGTTTTCTTCGTTGTATTCAGCATGTGTCCTGACTTACTGTGTTCTTGTTTGGCCGTTGTTAACTGTTGTCTTCGTGCTCTTCCTTTCTTGAATCTTGTCCAGGGTTTTGCTAGAGACCCATACCTTATATTGATGCCTTTCGCGGCCGAGCACCTCCTGATGCGTTGATGTTCATGCTCGATCGGCCTCTGCACAATTGTCCTCCATAGTAGTTTCTTCTTCTTTGAGTAGATCTTGTAGGGTTTGGAACCTGTTCTTGAGATCTATATTGAATTGGTTGAGTTTGTCAGTATGTCGAAGGAAGGTTGTATTGAATCTTTGTAATGGTGTTTCTTTAGTTTTCCAGTGCTTCTTTAGCTTCCGTTTCATCTTGGCCACAACCAGTTGGTGATCTGAAGCTATGTCACCACCTCTCGTTGTTCTCACACCTCCAATTGTCCTTCGGAAATTTTTGTTGACACAAATATGATCTATCTGGTGCGAACCTGTGAGACACATGTAGCCTCGTGTGTGTGTTTGTGGTGGAATATTGTGCCGCCTGTAACCACTTTTTTGAGTGCACATAGATTGGTAAACCTCTCATCATTTTCACTTCTCTATCCCAGTCCATGTCGTCCCATTATATCTTCATATCCACTGTTGTCCACTCCGACTTTGGCATTTAGATCTCCCATCAGGACGGTGAGGTCCTTTCTTGGGCACTTAGCTATGATTGATTGCAACCTCTCATAGAACTGATCTTTATTGTCGTCGTTGCTATCATTGATGGGTGCATAACATTGGATAACATTCATTGTGATCCCCTCCTTCTTTGTTTTGAATAATGCTTTGATGTTTGTGGATCACATCCTGTAAGTGCATTTCGTGCTTCTCTGGACAGTATTAGAGTAACTCCCTGCGTGTGTAAAGCGTTTTCATCTTCGTGGCCGGAGTACAGAATCATTTGTCCCGTATCTAGCCTTTGCTGTCCAGCTTGGGTCCAACGGATTTCGCTGATTCCGAACACTGCCAAGTTGTATTTATTCATTTCCGTTGCTACTTGACTGATCTACTAGGTCTCCAACATTGTTCAGATGTTCCATGTACCTATAAAGAGTGTTGCTGTGGTGGCTAGAAGGGATATCGGCCTTGTGACTTCCGAAGTATCTCAATTTTCATCTTGAGGCGTCATAACTCTCCCTTCAACCCCCAGGACAGATTTTAAATGGTTTAATTTGTTTGTTCTGGTTAGCGTATTCCTAGCAGGATTTTTTTCTGCGGGATGGGATTACCGACTTCATGCCTCACCCTCCTAATTTGCCCGGGCTTTAGGCTGGCAGTAACTCTAGAACAGCTACAGGCTGAGTTAATTGTATGTACTGCTAATCACATTCGGATTACGAGGTTTATTAGCATATGCAGTAAAATTATCATTGGTACAATACAGGCTTATTGCGACTAACTCTTGTATATATTAATCCTTTCTAATATAGATCCAATATCTTCATGATTATTTGATTTTTTCGTCTTAGTAATAAATAGCGATCAAATACATATTTATTGGGTTCTATGAAACGTGTCTAGTTATTTGGCCACATTAGTTCTAATGATATGTAGTTCGAAGCTGAGTTTCCTAAATCTGTTATTTCAGGATTACGAAGCAGGCAAGATTTTCATAAGTGCGATTTACGACATAACAAGCAACTATCAAGTTTACAATCAACATTATGTACTACTTGTAGTCGCTTTGGTGAACTAACACAAGTTCTTGAACGAAAAGTAAAATATTATCAGTTAAGTGGATATAACTTCAAGGGTGCGGTTAATCATATTCTAAAAATCAAGTCGATTTACCCCCTCTCACTGAGTATAAACAAGTCACCTCTTGTAATGATCAGTTTGCCATATGCATATGCTTTCGTCTCAGATTAAGTATATTAATCACAACAGCTAATCAATCGAACACATGAATATTCAGTCGACTTCCAAATTTGCTTTTCGTAAACTGACTTTTATCGCTATTCAATTACTAGATATCCGACGTTTTGATCGTATTTTCGAACCATCCTAAATATTTTCACTATTGTACATTGAAACTTACCAGTTGCTACATGAATAAATAATAATTTTTGAAATTTTCATGCAATAATAAAACAGGTTTTTATGGGGTTATTATTTCAACAGATTTTAGGGATCATTGTCAGGAAATAAATTGTAATCACAATTAATTGATCACTGGGTGGTGATCAATGTCATGCGTGTCAAGTCCTTCTTGGTGCTGATCGAATGCTTTCGATCAAGTTGCAATGTAGCCACTAGTCTAGGTGGCTCGACACTGCGTGCACTATATATTGAGATAAGATGGTGGTTGTAAGTGGTCAACAGGAAACCCTGGACATGGAATCGAATCCGTCAGGGAGCACCGGATCCCTCAAGATTACAGGTACACCTTGCTGACGAGTGCCAAATAGCACGAAACCCGGGTCCAGGGTTTCCTGTTGACCACCTCCAACCACCGTCTTGCTTCAAAATAAATTGTAGTTGCATTTTATTTGTTATCCATTCTGGTCATGCATTCAATCTAAAATCAGTCCATAGTGATATCAAATACTCTATTCACTGGAATTAATATCTATTTATTCAATATCAGACTCGCACCATTCCAAATCGAACAATTACTAGTATTTTTCATAGTAGAAAGCATGAGTCAATTGAAGCTAGACCACCATGGAAAACCTGGAAGCACTGTTTGACGGCCGTTTCGCCCTATTATGGGACTCCTCAGCAGTGCGCATCCACGAACCCGCTCTCGCGAGATTCAAACCCAGGACCTACCAGTCTCGAGCCGAAGCCCTTAACCGATAGACCACTGAGCTGGCATCCAAAGGTGTTAATGTCTAACTTCAACTGATCCACGAAGTTGAGCAACCATTCACCAATTGTCTTCAGTGAGTTCCTAACTCACAACAGACGTGGTTTTAAACTCCACTGGTCAGGACTGGTAGGTCCTGAGTTCGAATCTCGCGAGAGCGGGTTCGTGGATGCGCACTGCTGGGGAGTCCCACAAAAGGACGAACAGGCCGTCCAGTGCTTCCAGGTTTTCCTTGGTGGTCTAGCTTCAATTGACTCACGCTTTCAACTATCATATATGTAAAGCTTACTAGTAGAATATTTGTCCTTTGAATATCTCATTATCGAATAATCAGTACAGTCATTGTGTAAATCAGTTTTGTTGAATGTTCTTTTCATACCTCAAATCACTCTCCGTTTTTAGACATAACCTGCTTTTTTAAACTTCATTAGACTTTCACACAGCTCCCACCTATACCAGTACTGCAATTGATATTTTTATTTATTTATGGTTTTCTCTACTGTTGAATAATATAACAACTTGGAATTTTCAGTTTTCTGCGTGATTCTGCGTAGATATTTGTCATTGGATAATTCAATTAGGAAATAACTCAAATCATATATGAGTGGTGGGATTGTTGTTTAGTGATTAATTCATAGATTTGGAACTCGTCCCTGTCAATTCATCCTTAATCTTCACATATTTATATACTGTCAATGACCTTTTGTAAGTAAACGCCTTAGAGGTGTATGATTCTCGGGTTTTATTAGACTACATTTAATAAGAGTTATATTTTATTGTAACGCAAATGCTAAACATGCTAATGTTGTATTGTTATCAGTTCAATAGTTTTACCATATATACTTATTTTCAGGGCGACTGAATATGAACTGGAACAAAGCAAAAAAACAAATGAAGATTTGTTAGACAAACAGAATTTAAAAATTCAATCTTTGCAACATGAGGTATGGTTTTTTTGAGTTGTAGCTTTTTGTATCTAAACTGTTTTTATATACCCATGACTGTATCACTGAATTTGTCATCACAGAATTTGGGGATTTCAAGTAGTCGATTTCATGGGCACATATCTAGGGATGTCGGTAGAGGTAGCACAAATTGATTGAATTGTCAATAGCAGTTGTTTATCTGATGTTAGATTGGAAAGTTCTATCAAGGAGAAAAGAAACTGACGTAAAAAACGTTGTTTCTTCGTAATCTTTCTCTACATCTTGACAAATTTCGGCCTGGTTGCAATCAAAAATGAGTCCTATCACCGTTTTAGTAATCTCAGGATATCCCGTTCAACAAATACTGTGGTACTAACTAGTAACTTGGATCCTCAGGTAGTGGGTCTACGGATGGAAGATAGTCACTTCATGTTCATCGTGAACTTTGTGTTTGTAGATCATATGGCAGTGATCACCTCCAGGAGTTCCTTGCAGATAATAACCTGTTTCTTCTCGGAATAAACTTCGAACATAGTTGTTGCAGATGTCATGTAACTGACAATTTAGGGCGCTTGAGGCTTCACAAAGCACTCCGCTTATAAGTATCAGGCTTCTCTAGATACCCTCAACCCCTTACACCCCATTGATACACTTTCAAGGAATTGGAAATTTAGTGATAAATACAGATCGTTACATAAGGGAAATCCACACAGTTCTTATAGAGACCGAAGAAACTGGTAGTTGGAGCACAATAATCAGTTGAAAACAGTAAACCGATCTGACAACTTAAGCCATCTTTCATCTGAGCTACTGGGAGGAAAACTCTTGGTGTGAGTGAAAAATTGTTTGGAGTTGATGAATGGCAATTATTGGTAGTCAGCATTCATAAACTATGAGGAGAGTTCCTCGAGGAACAGTTCAAATGATCTTACTATACCTAAATTTGCAACTAACTGGTATTTTAAGCAGAGATGGATAGTGGCTAGCAGTGGAATCCAGGACGCGCGTTTCGTAATATTTGGGACTCGTCAGCTGGATGTACCTGCATCTCAGAGTTGATGTTCACTCTGGGACTCGAGGCAATACGCACAGTATGCACATATGCCAATTAGAGACTGACCAGCTGCAGTCCTAACACATCGATGGGAAGATTCAAACAAGCAATACTAAATGAATTTTAACTGGTATTTTGTTTTAGGGAATTATTTGATTACTGACTCATATCCATTTTCTACAACTTTGGGAGTCATGATTAAACAGATTGTTAGGAAACGTTGTGGTTTAAATGATAGCATTTCACGTAAATAACATTCTGTTTATTACAAAATAAGATTATATAGGTATATGAATAGGTATGTATTTGTCTAATAGTAATTCAATCTCAAAGAAGGTAGTATGCTTCTCATGTTAAAACTTATATTGGTTGTAAATTTCTAGAATGAAACATATCGAAATGAGATATCAGCTTTAAAAATTGATTTAAAGAAGAATCAAGAAGCTATTCAATTGAAACAAGATAAAATTGATCAAATGGAAGTGTATTTAGCTAAATTACCAACATTAGAAGATTATCAAGAAACTTTAAACAAGGTAAGTATAAATTCATTTAGTATTGTTTGTTTGAATCTTCCCATCGATGTGTTAGGACTGCAACTGATCAGTCTCTAATTGGCATATGTGCATACTGTGCGTATTGCCTCGATATAGCCTAAATTCACAAGCATAGTGAGCAAAGATTGTTAGTGGCTAGCAGTGGAATCCAGTTTGATGCGCGTTCCGTCCTATTTGGGACTCGTCAGCTGGATGTACCTGCATCTCAGTATATTTAAAAGGCCTTAAATATTATAGCAACTAATGTTATTGAATTTATTCAACATTAGTAACTGATTTTTGATTGGATGATTTTTCTATTTAGTACATTCAGTTGGTTGATATTACAAATCTTTGTTGTTATTCGAAATCCGAGTTTTATTTCTTTTGAGGACTTTCAGTATAAATAAACTTCATTCCAAACAAAATTACTTTCAATGAATTTTGGCTACTTCTAATTGTAATACGAAATTCAACAACAATGTTGGTATGGTGGACAACTCAAAATTGATGATCATGCTATTTAAAGAAATTTGAAGCAATTAATCCCTTTGATAAACTTGGTTAGTGTAGTAAGAAGATGATTATCAGAACTATATGATATATTAGCTCAATACATTTCGAGCACTCTGATCACATTTTATAAAATTGCTAAAAAATTCATATAACGATAATACAAGGTCAACTAGACTAAAAAATGAGGGGAAGAGGAGATAAAAGTAGTTAAGAAAGTAATATGAAAAGCATTACAAGCAAAGATGGATAGTGGGCTAGCAGTGGAATCCAGGACACGCGTTTCGTCCTATTCGGTACTCATCAGCTTGATGTACTTACATCTCAGAGTTGATGCTCACTCTGGGATTCGAACATCAATGGGAAGAGTCAAGTAAATAATACTAAGTGAATTTAAACTTCACCATATTGCACAAGCAAGAGACTATCGCGACTCAGTAGCTGAGTGGGTAATGCGATGGCGTTTAAAGCGACCAGTACTGGGCTTGAGTCCCAGAGTGAACATCAACTCTGAGATGCAGGTACATCCAGTTGACGGGTCCCAAATAAGACGGAAAGTGCGGAAGTTACCCGTATTTATTTCTTCACTAGGATATAACAACTACATTTTTTGAAACCAAAGAAAACTGATCAAATTTTAAAAGTACTAGAACTTTTCAGTATTATTTACTAATCATGACTTTTGAGATTCAATTAACTAATGATTTATTTATTTATTTATTTGAACACATAAATATTGGTACAAAGGGGCACCATATATATATATGCGTCGCACAAATCTCATTCGATTTATGTGAGGGCTGTGATACTGCCCAGGTTCCCAGACCAAAGCAGGTGGTTTTCTTAGGGGACCACACCCGGAGCCTTTGACCTAAAGGTCTTGTTCATAAAGCAGTGGAGCATCGTGAGGAGAAGCAGTACAATGGTAGCCGGTGACCAATGATTGATTCATACGCCATCTGTTCCCTCGGAATAGTGAAGCTCATGTGCACCATGGGTTTGAAATCAGGATTTTCCAAATCCTCTAGGTAGACACTCCACATCCAGCAATCCGGTTAAAGCGCCGGTCATTCGCTTTTTGTCCTCTCAATTTGGTAAACAACAGTAATGCCACTGTGAGAAGTCAGTGAGTAGGACTTCCCTGTCAGAGGCTATATAGACGTGGCGATATGAGAGCATTTGGAGAGGGAGAGCTGTCTCTCCCCACTCTCAGCCGTACCAGGGCATTTGCGGATAATAATGATCATATTTGTGTTGTATCAACTTATTAGTCAGTAAATAGAATTAACTAAATCAAATTTAATTAGTTAATTATTAGTCCTCCATCATCATGTATTTGTCTTTTAAAATATATTATTGATTTTGGAATTGGTTATTCTTGAAACCTAATTATGTCTTCATAGTAACAAAATATTGAATAATTAAAATTCCGTATATAGCGGAAATAAACCGGATTAGGGCACATTATGTGCATGATCGTGACGGCTCACGCTGATTAGCTGATTTTAAACCAATCAGCTCTGGCAGATTATTGGAGGAAGCATCTAGAAGCTTCTTATGTATATACTATAAATATATGAACGTTTTTCTAATCATTGATTGCTATTCACCTACACTTATTATTTTGAATACAATTTCATTCCTGTTCAACATGTTCTAATTTTTGGAGGGTCTTGTCGAGTGTCATTTGTATAAGAATACTAAGCAATAGGAGTGAAGATACGACCAGTATTCTAGTTTGACAACTATTAACCAGTAACACCTTCTATATTCGAATCGTCCCCCAATCGGTTAAAATCACAAGTCAGATGCGAAGAGATCGGAAAGATATATTTGATACATTATCAATATATCGAGAAACGTTTACTCTATTCTGGCTATTGAAACGTAGGAGCTGTTTCCCACACTGAATCGTAACGTGATCTGGTAACGGATGCATGACCGAACATCTTCAGTTAAACAAGTCCACTTAAAAATAATGTGGTCAGCATCCAATGTCGAACACTTAATGAGCTATTGATTTTAGGAAATTATTTACAGCTATAGGAGTAACTGGGTTGTTTATTACAAATTACATAATAAACCGAATTCAGTAGTATATTTATATTTAATTAAATTTTTTTTATTCATTTAGTTTCAATTAATGAAAAATCAAAATTTATTATTAGAAAATCATATTGAAGAATATAAAATGAAATTAATCCATAATGATATACAATTAAATAATGCTAATATAAAAATTAAACAATATGAAGAACGTGAACAATTAAATAAAAAAGTAAATGATTAATAATGTATAATTATAATTGTTTTTTTATTTATGAATCAACATCTACTCACCAATAGTGATGGACTTCAAGAGATATTTTTCCTGGAGTTCTAATGAGAAGGATTAGTGAACAGGTCTGTTATGAGATAGTAACTCAACGAAGACAATGGTGGATGTGTCACTCATTTGGATGCCGGCCGGCTTAGTGGTATAGAGGTTAAGTGTGAGACTGATACTGTTATATCTTGTGGCCGAGTGGATGCATATTTAATGTATGATGTGATAAGACCGCCAATCAGGGAGCAGCGAATTATCGATTGGAACAGTAACACACGAATACCGTACGAGTGCTAACCGGTCCTGCGATCTGCCTAGCTCAGCCAGTTAAGTTCAGAACACCAATAACAACCTCTGCAATATGAATGATTATTCTCAAACATACGGAGTTTATATACCAACCAAGCAGACCACATTGTACCAATAAAATAGAAAATAACATGTGTACAAGAATTAACCAAATGTGGCTGTGAATAAGGGGTGCAGTAATTAATAGACTGGGTATAACTCAGGAATGGTAAATCGTACAATAGTAGTCTAAGGGTCAAAATAAAGCTCACAATGAAAGGAACATGAATATGAGTAGTTTAATTATTTAACAAATATGCGATAAAAATTATATGCATAATATTGGTCCATAAATGGATCCCAAAGTTACCACTCGCTATTGTTATCGGGATATAACCGATACATCCTCGGTCCGAATCTCGCGAGGTGGGATCGTGGGTGTGCATTGCTGAGGATTTCCACAATAGGACGAAACGGTCGTTCATTGCTTCCAAGTTTTCCATGGTTGGTCTAGCTTCAATTGATTCATGATTTCAACTATAAAATTACTAAAATCTCCACAAAACCTCCTTCTGATTATAATACTATTTGTCTCATTATTATTGTTATTATCCTCTTATTTCTCTTATCGTTATATAATATCCATTGAAACTCAGAACATTTTAATCACAGTTTATGATTTGTCAATGTAATCCAATCTTCGTGTACTTGTTATATCAGAACTACATTGGTTCGCTTAATTTACATATACCATTATGGAAATTGTTTATAACTCAGTTAAATTCATACTAAAATATTCCGAGTTTATTTTGTGAACATTTTATATTTATTTATTTAAACACATAAATATTGGTACAAGGGTGCACCAGAAATATATGCGCCACACAAATCTCATTCCACTTGTGTGTTGGTTGAGATACTGCCCAAGTGCCCAAACTAAAGCAGGTGGTTTTCTTAGGGGACCACACCCGGAGCCTTTGACCTGAATGTCTGATCTACAAGGCAGTGGAGAATCGTGAGGAGAAGCAGTACAATGGTAGCCGGTGACCAATAATTGATTCATACGCCATTCGTTCTCTCGGAATAGTGGAGCTCATGTGCACCATTGGTTTGGAATGAGAGTTTTCCAACTCCTCTAGGTGGACTATTCGTGTCCACCAATCCGGTTAAAGCGCCGGTCATTCTTTTTTCGTCCTTTCAATTTGGTAAACAACAGTAATGCCACTGTGAGAAGTCAGTGAGTAGGACTTCCCTGTCAGAGGCTATATATTCGCTGGCCATGTTAGAGGATTTCGAGAGAAAGAGCGAACTCTCTCCACTCTCGGTCGTACCAGGGCATTTGGGGGCAACAGATCATAGTCAATACTTTAATTGTACTATTCTACATAAAGCAAATAAAGTCGATTTTTAATCAAAATTTAAACGGGTTCCATTCTACCTACCCTGTATTTGACAGATCATTCAATTAATTTTTTTATAAATTATTTGATCTAGTAAATCCAGAGTGCAACTGACTTAGTTTAGACACTTGCCAGTTTCTACACTGTGTTTACATAACTAACTGACAGCAATCAAAAAAAGTACCAGAAGGAATTATAATGAAATATTTTTGAATCAATAATTTTTTACCCATATTTAATTTTTATCACATTTTGTGTAGGATCTTAATGAAAGCAAAATTGAAAAATCTGATGATATGAAAGCATCAAAGGTGATACCAATTTTTGTTGAAGATTTGAAATGTGAATTAGAACGTTATCAGATCGCATTTGAAAAAACTAAAAAAGTGAGTAGTTGACGAACATATGTATATACATTTATGGTCATTTTCTAATTGTTCATTAATGATCATGGAAATCCGATCTAAGTTTGCTACAAAATAAATTTACTAACAAAATATTCAGGTTTGTTACTCCTAGGAGAGACAGCTGACCAGGAGTTTCCGAACAACTTTACATGAGGTCGGCTTTTCAGTTTTTAGAATGCTCTATTTATGTTTCAGACGTCATCCTAAAAAACTCGGCACCATGTGTTTTCTGATTTGCATTTTTTCCATTTATATTGGGGATTTCAAGTTACGGCTTGCTTTGCGATATGTTTTTACGATTTCCACTAAGTGTATCTTATCCAACTTCTGCATCTTTTTCCAATTTCCCCTTAACATGGTAGGTGATTTGTTTTCTGTTACAGAGGATTATCACCGCTTATCTCTGAACAAAGGATCTGAGATATATTGTCTAGATATCTGTATATAAATACTTCTACCATTTTGGTGATAAAGGTGTTGGTTGTTCGAGTTTCAGCTCCGTACAGTGTAACTTTTTTTAATGTTCATGTTGAAAATTCTGACTTTGGTGTTACGTGATAGTTGTTTTGATTTCCAGATGCTGCTCATTTTTAGTAATGGTGTATTTGCTTTGCCAATTTGTGCCTCTATATTTGCTATAGATCTTGTTTATTGATGTTGCTGCTCATGTGCGTAAAAATATCCACCTCTTTCAGAGCTTGTCCATCAAGTGTGATTTCATCGTTGCTGGATGTGTTATATTTCTGGATCTTGGTTTTTCTCCTGTGAATATCGAAACCTGGTGCCGAAGAGGCTGTTTCTACCCTGGCAGTCTTCGTCTGTATTTGTCGCTGTGCATAAGATATGAGAGTCAAGTTATGTTTAAATTGAAAACCTCGCACTTGTGTCTAAAGTGTCAAGCGTGTTCCATACTTCTACTGAGATGTGGACGTCATGATTATCCAGTCAACAACTAGAAGCAAGAGGAAAGATGATACTAAGCGGCCTTACCAAACATCAGTCTTGATTTAAAATGGATCTATAAGCTTCTCTAAATATACAACTTTGTAATCCAGTCTATCGTAGGAGTTCTTGATGATGGTGGGTATCTTTTAAGATGCTTTTTAGTGTCGCAGGCGATTCCACATGGTTTTCTCGTCCACTCCGCGAAACTTTCTCATAACCGAGGAAGTTGATGTATGGTGATGAGTTCCATTTAACTGATTTTTCAACAGTGATCCGTGTTGTCACGCTTTGATCGGTGCGTGATCGATCCTTGAGAACGTCAGCTTTTTATCTGAAATTTGGATGTCTGGTTATTCTTCCATTCGGTTTAGTAACAGTTTATTGAAAACTGTACCTAATACTGATAATAGCATGATACTTTTGCAGTTCTTACACTTACTAAGGTCTTTTTTAATATTTTGGTCAGGTATTTTTTTTCTACTGCGTTGATACTTGTGCTTTCTTCCAAATCTTTCTGTAGGGATCATGGAATATCTTTGTAGTCACTTCTATGTCTGATTATAGTGCTTCATGTGGTATCCTGCCTTTTCTTGCTACTTTCTTTTTTAGTCTTACTAGTTTCTATTACTGTTGTTGGTGTGTCGTCTGTAGGTAGGTTTATGCATGCCGCTTGTATGACTGGTGAGTTTCATTAGACTTTTCTATTCACCAGTTGTTGAAAGCCCTCTACCCACCCATCTGCCCATTGTTCTTGAACGTCCATAATTGGTTTGCGCTTTTCGCTCTTGACTGCTAACTCTGGGTTACCACATTTCCCTACTAGCTTCTAGGTTTTATCATATAGTATTCTCGAATTTCTCCTCTTGGGGCTTATTTTGCTGTGGTTACTAGGTATCGTACATATTTCTGATTCTCAGCCCTAATTCTCTATTTCACTTGTTTGTTTGATTCTGTATATGTTTCTACTTTATCATCTGTTTTTAGGTTGCTGTTGACTACCGTCTTTTTGTCTTACATTTTTTAAATCTTGCTCAGAGTATCTACGGAGATCTAGCCTTTATATTAGTGCTTGTTGGGGCTCACTAACTTCTAGCACGTTGTAACTATTAGTTCTTTAATCCATATCCAGTTGTTCTCCATAGTGTTTTTGTCTTTCCTCAGTAGATAGGTAAGACATATACTTATTTTTGTTTGACTATGTTATTAGCTAAACATTCAAAACTATAGAAATTGATAATACTATTATCATGTTTACTGATTAGTAAAGTTCACTAATGTAATGTATTGTTTTCTGTTGTATGTATATGTGTTAGCTACTTGAAACGGAAACATGTCGTTCTGAAGCCGCAGAATCCCATCAAAAATTGGAACAACATAAATTCAATGAATATCGTACACGTGTGGAAGCAGAAATTATTGGTATTAAAGCATCTTTATCACTTAGACATAGTGAAATTCGTCAATTAAATAAGCGTATTTCTGATGTGAGTTCTTTCTTGGTGTGGTCATTATTATTATTATTATCTTTTGATAAGAAAAAATTTATTATTATGGGCATCATATCTTTCAGCAGCAGTAGGTCTGAACATACACATAGGGAAAAGCAAGACTCTCTGATACAACGCAACATGTATCAATCGAATCACACTTGATGGAGTAGCTTTGGAGGATGTGGAAACCCTTACATATCTGGGCGGCATCATTGATAAACGTGGTGGATCCGATGCAGATGTGAAGGCGCTGATCGGCAAAGCAAGAGCAGCGTATTTACAACTGTAGAACATCTGGAACTCAAAACAATTGTCAACCAACATCAAGATCAATATTTTCAATACAAATGTGAAGACAGTTCTACTGTGTGATGCGGAAACTCGGAGAACTACGAAAGCCTTTATCCAGCAGATACAAGTGGTTATTAACAGTTGTCTGAGCAAGATACTTCTGATCCGTTGGCCAGACACTATCAGCAACATTTTTACTGTGGGAAACAACAAACCAGATTCCAGCAGAGGAAGAAATCAGGAAGAAGCGATGGAAGTGGATTGGGCACACCTTGAGGAAATCACCCAACTGCGTCATAAGAAAATCCTTTATATGGAATCCTGAAGGTCAAAGGAGAAGAGGAAGTCCAATGAACACTACGAGAAATGAAGACAGGCATGAGAATAATGAACAACAACTGGATAGAACTAGAAAGGAAGGCCCAGGAGAGAGTGTGTTGGAGAATGCTGGTCGGTGGCGTATGCTCCATTGAGAGTAATAGGCGTAAATCAATAAGTAAATAAGCATCATAGAGGATAATCTAATTTACTTTGCTAATAAGAATATCCAAGTAAGTTTTTTGTAGTGTTAATTGTAAAATTGAATGACCTTCAAGTTATTTTTTTTTTTTGAATTTTTTTTTTCTATTTAGTTAACTTTAGAAAAACAAAATTTACATAAAAATTTATTTAAATCATATCAATTATTAAAATATTTTATTACTATATTGAAATCATTAAATGTTCAATTAATTAAACAATTATATAAATATATAAAAGAGAATATTAATGAAATTCAATGTATTGTTAAACAATTCATTAATTTATTAAATGGTATTCAATTAAATTTAAATGAATTATTAATACAACCAAAACCATTATTAAATATAAATGAACAATATAATGAATTGAATATATCATCATCATTATCATCAATAATAATAATAAATAATGGTAAGTGATTATTGAATTGATTTAATAAAGTGTGAATTAATTAAAACTAGAATAATTATGGAAAATTTAGAAGAAGCAATGTTTAAAGGCCATTTCATCTTATTGTTAGACTCCTCAGTGATAGTACGCATTCATGATCCCGTTTCGTGAGATTGGAATCCAGAACTCATCAGTCTAACGCTAGAGAACTTAACTTCTGATTATAATCATATACTCACTAGTGACTGAATTCAATATATATATATATATATCCTGCAGTTCTAATGAGAAGCAATAATGATCAATGGAGTTCAATCAAGTCTGTTGTAGGGATATCAACTCACTGAAGACAATTGGTGAATGGTTGCTCAGATTTTGTAGATTGGTTAAAGTTAGACAATAACACTGTTGGATGCTGACCGGCTTAGTGGTCTAGTGGTTAAGTGCTCACGCGCGAGACTGGTACGTCTTAGATACGACTTTCGCGAGGCGGGATCGTGGATGCATACTGCTGAGGAGTCTCACAATAAGACGAAACGACCGTCGAACAGTGCTTCCAGGTTTTCCATTGTGGTCTAGCTTCAATTGACTCATGATTTCAACTATGAAAAATACTGAAATCTCCATAAAACCCCTTCTCATTATGATAACTTATATTAACATTATGTAAAGTACATTTTCAATCTATCAAGTTGTAGGTGTATAATAATAATAATATAGAGTTTAACAACATTCTTTACATGTAACACCTTTTTATAATTGAAGTATATTAATCTAGAGTGAAATCAAATATCAGAAATAATTACCTAACTTTCATGATCTAGAGACAGATCTTTTTACGGATGAACTGTCTATGGTTATGACAAAATTTTAAGATAATGAGTAATGGTGTATCAAAAGTTTGTGACGTCGAGGTTGTGAAGTTCTGGTAATTTCCAGAATGTAGTCGACAGATACAACTAGTTTATGTACAGTGTTACTTTTGAAATGAGACAATGAATACATGCGGCTGTTGAAGGAAGCTTAGATAAGAAAAGATGTTCAGTTCGTTTCAACTGTGCAGTATCATCTATGAACTATTGAAAAACTAGACATCTTTATCGCTTTATGAACTCTTGTTCATGAATGTTTAATTCACTTCCTGAATTAAATTAATTTAGCTAATTGATGACAAACTTAATGAAAGTATAAAAAATGACTGAACAATGAAGAATTTCATATTTGAGATTATGAGTCAATTATAGCTAGAGCATCATGGAAAACCTGGAAGCACTAGACGGCTGTTTCGTCCTGTTGTGAGACTCTTCAGCAGTACGCGGCCACAATCTCGCTTCGTGAGATCCGAATCCAGGATCTATCAGTCTCGCGTGCAAGCGCTTAACCTCTAGACCATTAAGCCGCCATCCAAGTGAGCAACACATCCACTATTGTCTTTAGTGAGTTGATATCTCACAACAGACCTGGTTGAACTCCAATGGTCACTACTGCTTCTCATTAGAAATCCAGGAAATATCTTCAAAGCCAGTCATTAGTGAGCATATGTTGATTAATATTAGAAGGGTTTTTTGTGGAGATTTTAGTGATTTTATAGTTGTAATCGTAAGGAGTCCCATAATAGGAAGAAACGACCGTCCAGTGTTTCCAGGTTTTCCATGGTTATCTAGCTTTAATTGACTCATGAATTCAACTATAAAATTACTAAAATCTCCACAAAAAACACCTGATAATGAAGAATTTGTTCAGTTCACCGATGGCAAAATGAAACAGAATAAAAATTAAAATAATAAATATAAACAAAGTCAGACTAACAAATAAGAAATGGCTTTTTTAAGGTCTCTTAATTAGTAGGACCAGAATTAGTTGCATATTGGTTATGATCAATTACTTCACAATATATTAAATTTGTTAGGTGAATTAAAAAAAATACGTTTATAGTTCCTCTGCAGAACATTGAGGATCTATTGTGTTTTCTATGAATTTCTATGTAACTGCAGAATGTAATTATCTTCATAGATTAGGCAAAGATTTCCAGAATTAAACTATCAGATCCATCTAGTCTTTTCCCTTTTAGTTTTTTAATGAAATTGAAAAGGGTGTAGCTAGTTTCAAGTAAGAGAAGGCATTAGCCATGAAAATTGATAGAAAATGTTGAGGAATACTTATACTGACATTTGGCTACTCTCAAACTCCCTGATACTCCCAGATAATTTGAATAGATAAACCAATAGAAGTGGAGTTAAAAAGTCTATTATGAATTTAAAGTTATCAACAGAAGCATGACTAAATAAATTCTTTATAAGCTTTTTGGATTGATAACTTGTGAGTGGTTTTCATATTTCTATCCATTACATTAACTCAATGAATAATGATTTCCACCCATACAATGTAATGGACATCTTAGCGATCAACTTTTATCACCTTCGCTACTGTCATAGAGGTGGTAGGATTTGTTGTTAAATGTAGTTCGGAACCACTCTGATCATCAGACTACACTATTGTAGTTTAACATCGTACATTCACTAATCGTTAACATGCATTTGCACTATCATTTAATGCTAGTTTCGCATCGTCAAGTAGTCGACTCAAGTAGATGTATCATAATAACCATAAATATGTAGGTCACTCCAGTATCGTTAGTTCCAGATTACGGCAAATGTTGTTACTTACAATCTCATAGTTGTTTTTTTCATGGATATTGATATATGAAATCATGTATTCGGTCAGCTTCTTGTTCCTTAGAAACATTTTTGTTTTTCATTTGAAAATGTTTTGTGGAAATTTTAGTAATTTATTAGTTGAATTCATGAGTTAATTGAAGCTAGACTATTATGAAAAACTTGGAAGTACTGGATGGCCGTTTCATATAGTAGAATGATACTCATCATCATTGCGCATCCACGATCCTGCCCCCCCCCCTGGGATTCGAATCCACGACGAAACGACCGCCCAATGCTATCAGGTTTTCCATGGTGGTCAAGTTTCAATTGACTCATGAATTTAACTATCAAGTTGATGATTGTGTGAAATGTACTTATGTTAACTATTGAAATGTAAATAAGATAAACAAATTCTTCATCTCCACTTTTAGATAATAATAGTAAAGATACATGGGAAGATTCATTTGATGATATTATAACTATTGCATCACAATTAACAAATAATATTAATCCAGAACTATTACATAATTCTTTAGATCAATTAATTAAAACACGTACATTACTAATAAAGTTACGTCAACAACTAGCTAATAAATATGCAGATCATTTAGGTGAAAAAATAGATTGTATTGTTCAATGATGAACTTTACTATTGTACATTTTACAAATGCATTTTTTGAAATTATTTTTTTGAAATTTATTTTAATTTATTTAAACACATAAATATTGATAAAAGGAGGCACCAAATAGACATGTGCCATATAAATCATTCGATTTTTGTGAGGGATGGGATATTACCCGGGTGCCTGGACCGAAACAGTTGGTTTTCTTAGAGGGCCACACCCGGAGCCTTTGACCTAAAAGTCTAATGCACTAGGCAGTGGGGCATCGTAAGGAGATTCAGTCCCATGGTAGCCGGTCACCAACGATTGATTCATATGCGATTCGCTCCCACAGGATACTGGAGTCCATGTGCACCATTGGTTTGGAATCAGGGTTTTCCAACTCCCCTATATGGACTTTCCGTGTCCACTAACCCGGTTAAAGCGCCGAACATTCGCTTTTCAACCTCTCAATTTCGTAAACAACAGTAATGCCACTGTGAGAAGTCAGTGAGTAGGACTTCCCTGTCAGAGGCTATATACGCGTGGTGATGTGAGAGCATTTGGAAAGGAAGAGCGATCTCTCCCCACTCTCAGCCATACCAGGGCATTAAAATGGTCTGTGTTTTTTCTACGTTTAGTCATATGATCTATCCATAATTTATTGAATAATCAAGCATTATTTATATAAGCAATTTTTTTAAAATTTGAGCAAAGATTTTCACAAAAATTGGGCGCCACATATATGGTAGTTATAAGAGATAAAAATTATATTTAAAATAATCTCAGTGGGTTCGACTGAAAGTGTGACAATTAACCATGGAATATCTTTACTTAAGAAGGGTCTTAACTGTAATAAAAGTACACCACTCTTGTACTTATCAATTTGTAGGGCTAGTGAAATATCATGGCCGTAGCCAAATCATCCGGAAGTCAGGTCACTGAATATCAAGCAATTTACGGACCATTCTCAGGGTCAAAGATAACCGACGCGCATCAGTCAACTTGCACGCTATGGACTAGTCCGTGCGGCAGTGGGCTCACTGAACCTTTTTGTGCCTACTCTTAATAATATAAATCTGTATTAATGTCGCTCACGTTGTACGGTCTTCAAGGTAGCTATGATACTTAAATACGGCAAAATGGTTATCCACGTTAGATATTAACCATGTGGTATAACTTCGACGCAAGCAAGTTGGTTACACCATTTCTGTCCAACTCGAGTAGGCCTCCTATCATCGACATAGATTAGGTGCGTTGGTGGTCTACAAACTGAACCGAATTTGAAATGTCTTTTAAATGAATATGTGAATAGTATGGAAAACGAACTTTTATTCATCAAGCCTAAGGCTGAAACGAGTACTAATACAAATAATAACATGAAACTAGGACTTACATTATGATCCACTTCATAGTTAGAAACTAGCAGTCCTTATTGACTTCATGAGCTACTAGAGGTTCACAAAAATAATATACCACTAGAATCAGTGGTTAGTTTTACAAACTCACATGTAATCTAGTGAAGTGCTTATCTAGAACCTTCAACCTATATGACAAGACGATAATTTATGGAATCAATGATTTTGTCAAATTCGAAGATAAAATCAGTACAGGATGTATTGAAGATGTCTAATTTAAGACAAATTGACGCTGATATACAACAATGATTTCTAAATTATTCTGTGATTATTCCGAATTCGAAATGTAATATATTCAGTTGTGCTCATCAAGTTCTATCTGTCTTTTTAATGGAACTATTTTCAATATTTTGACTATCAATTTGATCACAGTTTTGATGCTTCCTCTTTATTTACAAATATATTCATTGAAAAAAGGTTCTTTTCTATGATGCATGAAAGTTTATAATCGGTCATTGATATGAGTTTACCTTTCATGTCAGATTATCTCCAACGTTAGTTTGTACATAGAGTTACACTCGTGTTTAACTTCATTCACTTTTTTTTAAAGAGATCTATATCAACGGAAATGAGTAATTTTAGGATCTCTGCTTTTATCAGTGGTTGGGAATTTATCCATACATTCTTCACAAATTAGACTAGTCAATGATATCCAAATTCTCATTTTCGTATGTAGAAGATATTTTTATTGTTTTGAAACAAGATCGTTTAGCAAAACTTTCTGAACATGTAAATAATATATTGGATGGTATTATCTTGACCAGGGTGGTCAATTCCTCTGATTATATACGAGCACTTCACGATTGTTTTATTGAAGAGAATAGTGAGAATACTGTGGAAATCAGTACTTTCCCCAATATCGACAAGTTGAGATACAGCTAGATTACAGGTCGGGACTTGCTCATTTAATGAAGGTCTCAGCATTGGCCTTGTTAAGGGGACAAAGGAAAATCAGATTAAGTCGAATTGAATCCTGCCTACACTTGAGGAGGATAATTACCCTTCTGCATTTGAGGAACTTATTTAAAATTAAATGAAAATAAAATAGGGAAAACTTAAAAGAGACTAGGAAAACACTCCAATCTGTAATGACTTTGAGCTTGTATAAACCAAGTGATTTCTTTGCACTTTTTTCTTATTGTCTCAGTATGGTTACAGGTTTTTCGTCATGTTCCATGGGTGACTGTTTAGCTACTTGACTGCATTAGCTCTAGTCAGTGTGGTAGTTATTTGTGGGTTCGTGTGTCTTGTAATCCGATCGATTGTGTTTGTCCAGGAGCAGTAGGTTTTCTGCATATCAGCCAGCTATCACAATACCAGATAACTCGAGTACCAGGGAAAGACGATTGTTTCTAGAACTTGTTAAGTGGGTTAATCGATTGTTGATGCAGACAGTGTGAGAAGATAAACTCAAGAATTAAGGTGATAATAAGCGAGATGGGAATAGATTAATTTCACTTGATAACCGGTGATGTGTTAGAAGATGTAATTGCAAGAATTAGATTGGGACAGCGTTGATATTATGAGAGATAAGAATTAGTTACTGGTAATGTGTTAATGATAACTGTTGTAGTTCATATGACATGCATCTGACACAGTTGCTCGATGAGAGGCATGGTAATCCATCGGACAGTACGTGCCTGTTTAGTTTCCTCTTATTTCAATCCCAGATTATAGAGATTGTCTTCGTAAGATTTATACTTTAGACCTGTCACCCATTAAGTTGCTTGTTTCTGTACTTGATCTAAGAGATTTATATACCTTTTCAATGGAAGTGACGCAACGACATCTTGGACTTCGAGGTGAGACTGTGCACATGTTTCAAACCCATTGCCTTCTTCCCAGTTACCTATCTCATTTGAATTTTTTTGTGAACCTCCAGATCCAGTCGCCTACGCGACTCAGCGCTGCTGAGTTAATTTTCTTGAGAACAAGAGTGGGTCTCGGATTGTTTCTCGTGAAACTGTTTCAAACTCGTGTGCACTCTACTTACCTCGGTACGAAATATTCTGTTCTTTATGTAGTTTCAGAACCCAGATAAGAGTACTTCAGTGAGACATATATCGCTATGAAACGTACATGAGGTGCTGCGTCAAAGGCTTTTTACAAAATCGAGGAATATTGATGATGTCAACGTTTCCAAAAAGTATTCAGTCAAACCCCAAGTGTGTCAGTTTTAGTATCACCAGAATTATCACATCTTTTCGAGTGTTAGAACCTGTGCGGTGCTGGTATATTCCTCCAATCAAGTACTTAGTACCATCTACATTGATGCAATTTCAGTATGATTCAACTCAGTCAATTCGGTACTATGTGGTTTTACGACTTTGGCTGTAAATATATATTACCACTTCATCTCTTATTTTGTGTACCCTATCGTATCTTAAAAGGGTCATGTCTTGCAAGCACATTTTTTTCTTTAACGCCAGAGGATGACCACGTTTTAGTCATTGTTAATATTTTAAGGTCTACGTAAAAGCACACATTCTCCCAGTACACTTGATAATTTATCTCACTACCTTGTGCTCATCTATAGCAGCTTCGGTCTTCTGATTTTGGCTAGTTCCGTATCGACTGGTCGCTGCAGGTATTCTGTCCGTATATCGTCTCCCATAAACCAAACCGTGGGTTGCCGGTCAAGGTCAGATAACACTGAGGTGTGTTGGATTGAGCTACGCTGATGATGTCTTGCTCACCTAGGTCAACTTTCACAAAATATGATGTGACTGAAGGGGTTTTATGTCAAGCTTAACTAAGCCTGGAGAGCCTGAGTTAAGTCCTCTCATTTCTGAGGTTCACATCCATCAAATGCAGAGACTAAACAGTCGTGAGGCGTAACGGATGAGGGAGCTTGGATACGCTAGTTATCGTAGTGGTATGAAGGTCTGAACCACTTGATAGTAAAAACCATTTTTTCATATCATGTCCGTGAACTTTTGCTTAACTACCACCCTCTAACTGTAGCACTCCGTCAACAACTATCCCGGTTGGTTCTTGGGTGTCTGTTGGTAATTCCATAACGAAGTCTCACGCAGCCCACGGTTTTTCGTGTGTAACTGGCGCTTGATGGAACTGTCCAGCCGATGGCCTCCAGGATGTCAATAAATTTTTTCAGTAAGTTGTGCTGAATCTAAAGTTACCCTCACTGGAGAGGGTTTGGCTTTATCTATCTTTAGGTTAGGACATAGGTAGCATATCTTGGCTAAAATTAGACCCCTTCCCAGCATTTTACAGTACTTGTCCCTTTTTTTGTCAAAGGCTGCCCTACTCTCTAATGAGCTACACTAGAACACTAAAACTAACAGTGGAGTTCCATCGAACTTTGTTTTCTCCCACTTTTGTCGTTTTGAAATCCATACTTTTGCCATTTAACTTCCAAGCGCTCATTAATGTTAACAAAAACTGGGGTATTCGCGTCACTCGATAATTTCATTGTTGTATGCGCTTATGTTGTTACTCCCATAGTCGCGCGACTGGTCGAGCCTTTGTTTAGCGACATCAATATACTATTGGTGATGGGTCTTATGTTTCTTTTTTATTAGTTCTGTTGATGGATGTTTTCTACCCTGAGGGCCGATTTATCAGAGCCGCAGACGGAATTAGTTTATCTTGGACTCGAT